CTTATCCAGACAAAAAACCTACCAATTCTCAAAAATAGTTTTTTTTAACCAAAGAGAGAGTAGAAAAGTCGGATCAAACTACTGACCGTCTGTTTTTCCTTTCATTCAAATGCAATAGTCTCCATTGGAAATTCCCTATCTATATACTTTGCCATTCATTAATATAAATAAAATATGTTCTTTTTTGCCTTAGGCCTAATAATGATCTAGCAAAACACAAAATATGTTTGCACTATTAAAGTAAATTAGTTGTATATAAAGCACGGAATATCACGAAAATCCGACGAATCAAAAAAATAATCCAACTGAGGAAACTACGTTTGTCCATTCGTATATATCAAAATTACTGGGTATTACTTTTAATTTCCATCATTTTTATGAGCAATGAATGAAGGACACTTCACAGTCGAGAATCTTACTTTTAAGCAAAGGAAAATGGGAGGAGAATGCTACGAGATGAAATTCGTAAAAGATTAATGCTTTTTTGCGAAGAAAGTATTGACAAATGAAAAATAAAAAAAGCAATACCGCGAATTAACCACGGCAATGTTAAAATTTCAAATGATAAAAGCATCCATCTGGTCTATTTGTACAACGTTGGAAATGGATAAAGATAGGAAAAAAGAGCTTCCAACGGGAAAAATCCAATAAATTTAGAGCTCCGCTTTCTACCTCTCACCGTTATAGATTAATGAAACATTACAACAAAGGATTACCATCCCTAGGGAAGTGGAAAGAAATGTAATTGTGAGAGTGAACATTTTAAGGAATCAATCAAGTGGTGAATTTTCCCGGTACCAGCAATCTGGGATGATATACGAGAAAGCCCAAGAATTAGAACATTCATTCAATAAATTGTATTGTGCTTTTTATGCATTTTCATACCTTTTAGATGCCTTGAGCATCTCTTTCTGGGTGACTACATGTACGCGTGCGTTTGAAAGATACCACACAAATGTCATAAATTGTATCTTGCCTCTAAATTAGCACTTGGGAATTGATCACAAAATTACACAAAAATATTCCTCCTTCTTTTAATGGATTTTGGAAGCTGTTCAAACTGGTTCTCCATCGATGAGACTCAATGTTGCAAAGGATGTCCCAAAATGAAAAAGTAGGTTAGATCAGTGTTTATTTTCTTCTTTTCTTTTCAACTCCTATCCTCCTTCATCTATTCCCATCTCCCCGTAAATACCCCTCTCTCTCTCCCTCTCTCTCTCTCGTTTCCTCCTTCTCACTCTTTAAATAGTCTCCCCTCTCTTCCCCCTCTCTAATTCTTCTTTTTGTCGCATTGTACTAGGACTATACACAAACGGTTACCATAGTTGTTGCTGTTTTTTTGTCGCAAACTGCAATTATCATCTTTCTCCCTTCTGAGCTATGCACTTAGAGGACTTAATAATAATCAATAACTGAAATATGTGCTGACTTATATTTCTACACGAAGTGATATAGGCTGCACATTTTTATCACTAGTCCGGTGAAAATCTGTCATCGTCAGAACATTTTGAACTGGCCTAAATTTACCACATTTGATTTATTTAGCTCCTGCATGGCTTAGCGAAGAAAGGGGAGAATCGAAAGACGGAAAAGGACAAATATAGGAAGCTGATCATAATGAAAGAGAAGAAGGTGATCCAGAAAGGAGAGAAAGAGAGAGAGAGAGAGAGAGAGAGAGAGGGGGGAATGATGGGGAAGTGAGAGAGAGAGAGAGAGAGTGAGAGAGAGAGAGAGAGAGAGAGAGAGAGAGAGAGAGAGAGAGAGAGAGAATAGTGGGGGAGGAGAGAGAGCAAGAATAAAAAATGATCGCAAAGACTCAATAAACCATGAAGGGTAATACCCTTTTGTATAGCCCTTAGAAATCATATTCCGAATACGTAATATGTCTTGTCCGCAAATTAATAGATGACGCACAAGGCGCTAAAATTTCGCAAGGTTGATCTTATGAGTCTTATCTTTTCTGCGATCGTGCTTTATGAGAGGATAATCAAGATTGATCGAGAATGAAGTCAGATATTGTTTCCTGGTCGGCAATTACAATATATTAGACGTACCTGACTGCACCAAACTACACGGTCTTTTGCATTAAATAACACATAGTCCTGTGACCTGTCATATCCGACCTCGGATTTTCTTCTTCTTTTTTACGTTGTATTCTTTTCATTGTACTGCTAATCTTATTTCATTTCCGAACTAGTTGTAAACACCTTAGATAATTCTCATCTTTAGTAGTATTATTATTGTTATCATTATTATTATCATTATCATCATCATCATAACCATCATCCTAATAATAATAATAATAATAATAACAGTTCGTTCTTTTATAGCGCATTTCAGGACCGAAGGTCCTCTCCAAGCGCTTAACAATGTACAATGTACTTCTACATAATTACTTGAAGCATTCATCAAAAAGGTGAGTTTTCAGCGCTCTCTTAAAAACTTCAACATCAGTCATGGAGCGTAGCGACACAGGGAGAGCATTCCAACGTTTTGGTCCACCACATGCAAATGCCCTGTCACCATATAGGTTTTTGTGGCTCCATGATTGGGGGTGAGAAGGTGTTGGGGGAGATGACCGCAACCATCATCATCATCATCATCACCATAACTATTATCATCATACCCATCATCATCATCTTCATAACCACCATCATCATCATAACCGTCAACATCATCATTATTACCATTATCTTCATTAAGATGAAACCACATGTCACAGAGACCCTTCCGAATCCCATCCTTCTGTGAAAAGAAGTCTAATGTCGATTAACAAGAGAAACACAAAGAAGCAAACTAATATAAAAGCGTCTGAAATTGCGAAATTTAAATGGTTTTATTTCTGTTTCCATAGTTAAGACAGCTTGCAATGTATCTACACTGTCTGACCTTCACAAGACACTGTTAGCCGAACCAGGAAGCATTCGTCATCTTCACAAGATGAGAATATTGCATCTCTACATATTATATTTACACAATATCATTGAAATACGATTCCGCATTGCCATCTTTATGATTTCCATCGTGCTTTGGATAACATCACCATGTCTTCGATTACGAAAACGGCGCTCTCAATTATGCACTTCACGAACAATCAAAAAAAGATTATGCTAATTTTACACCAGGGTCAAGAGCACAGGTCGAGAGTGACAACTGCATATGGACTGCATTGTGCAAGATTTTTTTTTACATAACCTTTTCTTTTCGGATTTCATAATGAATCGGCAAAACAACAGTGCAATGTTAATTCAAAGCGGGACCCATAGCACGACATGGTTATCTCGGTTTTGCAATATATGAGAATATCTGGTATTACATAAAATTAATTCAACAAGAATAATTTACCCGGTACAAATATTTTTAAAATATTTATATATACGATGATCAGTAAACAAATTCGGATTTTCGTGATATTTTGCAGCATGGAGAGATATCACTCTCAAATGTATGATTCTTGAAGAAAATAGATTATCACAGTGAAATTGAATTATTTTAATATGTGTTGCAATTGATTCCCTAAATCAAATCCTAAATTTCCCTCTGCAAAGATATTGGGAGCAATGTCTAATTAGATCGTTAAAATTGTTACCTCTTTGGCAAAGACTGCATACACTTCTATGTTTTGTATTTCTGGTATTTTTGTCAAAGAAAGAAATAAAATTGGCCCGATAATTATACAAATGTTAATGTACATTACTTAATGAATATAAACCTATCACCAATTCAGTAGTGTCTGTTTTAAGTTTCGCATTCAGAAGACTAGAAATGCACAGCCTTCATTGTCAGCGCAGTATCCAGTAATTATTGATAAATTGTGGGAGGGGTGGGATCGAATCCCTCCTAGAAGAGGCTGAGAATCATGTATTCCGCGGCCACCAAACACCTCATGTATGATTAACATGCGATCTTCATGGCCCGTATTCAAGAAAATTCTTGAGCATGAAATTTAAGAGCTTGTTCTGAACTTTTTGCTAAGAGAAAAGTGTTTCATTTTTATGCAATCGCTACCACATGTGCATGATGCGGCTGATAATTAGGAGACGACTCAAAAGATGGCGCTCCGTAAGTATTTGCCATGGACGGACAGAGCCATAAAAAAAGTTCATTAACATTTTAATAATGAAGATTTTTTATCATACTAGCTTTCTAAGCTGCTTCATCACTAATAATCGCATAAATGACCCCCAAAACAAAACAGAAAAAATATACATGGTGAAAGGGCTTTTTCCATTAATGCCCCTAAAACCTGGAACTCCTTACCCACCGGAACTTAAGAATTTCCATACTCTCACAGTTTTCAAGAAGGGTCTGAAAACACATCTTTTCTAATTTGTTGTAATAGTCCTCTCTGTTGGATATTAATGTAAGCTTCGTATGATAATTTTGTTTTTTTGTAAGTATTTATTGTTTATGCGCTTTGTAACTAATGGATAGTTGCTACATAAATGTATTATATCATTATTATACATAACATCCGTTAGGAACATAATTTTGCTTTTTTACAATTGAAAATCAGAATAGTATTTTAATGCAAGTATGTTTAGTTATTATCACGTAAGGTGATAAAAGGTATGATTACAAAGTTTTGGGAATTTTTGAAAATTGGGTGGATAGTGATTCTTTACAATTTTGATATATTTGGATGCCCCTGTCGATGTATTATAAGCACTAAAAAAATTAGCCCCCAAAACACTTCTGCTTTCGGAAAAATTTAAATATAAAAATTTACCGGTGCTCCCGGTAAATTTTAATAAATTTCAAATAGCGCCTACGGCCGTAAAATAGTAGCTGCGACCATCAAAATCTCAGAATATGTAGTTGTGATAATTATATAATTTCCAAACGGGAATAGTTAATTGGTCGATTTTGGTCAAGAAACATTGTTTTATAGCTTAATTAATATCTTGACCTTGAGAGGGAGCTATACAACATAAAGAGTTTATTATTTACAATTTCATAACTCTAGATTCGATTTCAACCGCGACAACGATCACTAAATTTTGTAGGATCGCATATGCTTCCAATATGTTCATTTGAACCAAATTCATGACCCCATACCAAAACTTTGTATTACCTTTAAGATATATATATTATGGAATATTCGATTCTGTCTATAACACATTTACAAAAAAGAAAGCAAGATCAACCATAAATAACACATCCGGTCGACATCTATCGACCATGCATCGTAAATTATACAAAATTTACATCATTGTACTCGGAGAGGACCTAAAGCCGTCGGGGTCCTATGGTTGCTTACTAACAAGCATTTATGCTTTCTTAGCAGTCAGGTAAAACAAAAAACACCACCACGTTATAAAATGAGTTGTAGACAAATCTGTCATCATGTATACATTTCATAACCCATTTAAATCTTCCGAGTTTCATTTAGCAGTTTTCCAACTATGGGCACGAAGGATTGTTTTTCCATGATTGTTCCATTGAGGCTTAAGAACAGTAACATGTCTATTCCTGAAATGTTTTATTCAAAATACACAGCAAAAATCGTCGCTACAGCGAAAAGTGATGCGTTTGAGTATCTGGCGGTCGCTGAATTATCCGTGCTCGTATCCCAGACGCACCGACTGCAGACATTTACGTCTTGGCTGTTCTTCTCGCCAATAACAAGATGGCAGACAATCTTCTGCCTCTTGAAGCCCATCTTCTTGACTCGCGCCTTGATGACATCAGATAAGTTTATCGTCAGTGTAGATACGGTCCTGGGGTTGTACTCCTCCGTTTTCAGGCGCATCGCCAGAAGTTCCTCAACGAAACTGCGCACCTTTGTCGCGTCAAATTTGCATTTTTCGTCCGGTGAGAGTTGGAAGGTGTTCTCGTACCTGACCCGGGGTACCAGGACTTTCTGGGCTTCCTTCTGCGTCGAAAGTTTCTTGGCCACCTGAGACCAGACTGATCCTTTTCGTGAGAATGCATTAGGTCTGCTGGAAGCTACACTCGTCTCGGAGATGGTGCCGTCGCCGGTCGAGTCGTGGCCTTCGCCGCTCTTCTGCGAAACGGCAGAGGGTTCTCGGACAATCTTCAACAGTTTCTTAGCCAACATCGTGCTCTGTTTTCAGTCATAGGGTAGATGAAGAACTTCGTTGAACCTTACAAGTGCAATATTTTTCCAGTCATAGGTCTCAGCTGTCGAATAATGGTTAAATCAACATAAATGATATGATTTCCCAACAACAGTCATGCGGTTTGCTCAATGTCACTGTAATCACGAACTAAAGAATTGTCAACCAAACCACAAATTGTGACAAAACGATGTCGTCCTTTGCTACAAGTTTGTCGCCCGTGCTATAGTCTTAAGATAGTCCGTGTACCTCTGACAGAACTCTCGTCAAATATATCCACTCGAAAGACGTTTCAACATCCATATAAGATCACAATATCTAGAAAACAGGATTATCCTTGTCGTGTGTCGTTTTTTTCTTTCGTTTCCAGTCTCTGAGATCAACAAAATGAGTTGGCAACAAGGGGGTGAAGCTACAACGGTTAAAGCGCCTACCCCGCTGCATGAACTGTAAACATAGAACTTCTATGCTAATACGCTTTTGACGAGTGTTCTTTAAGAATCGCTCTGTTTATCCCGTTGCCAACTTCGCGCGAATTGTCCCACATTTCCATTTAACGACCATCAATACCAGGATTATCTCTTTCCGTTCGATTGCACCCTATTTCTATTATTTTCTCGCACAATAGCAGCTTCGATTTGTCAAATCCCTCTTGAGCCACAACTGTTATGTAAGGGGAGTGAACAAAGGGTATAATTTTGGCACCCCCTTGTGGAGTATCTGGAATCAGATTACAGCAAAACTGATCGATGGTGAAGTGAGCCTGTACAAAGAGCAGAGGCAAGGTACAGATAACAGGGCCATCTTGACAAAACTTTCCTTTTTTCTGATCTTCATCTCTTTACTTTCTGCTTTTTCCCCCTTCCGTGTTTACGCATTCTACAGGATTCGTATATTGTTTTTTTTTCACGGGCTCATATTCTGTTGAAACGAAACGCCTTAGGTTTACTTTGACAAATAGCTAGACACTATTTGTTTTCGATTTTGTTTGCGGCTCGTCTTTTCATGAAGACAGTCTATATAATTATGTCGATGACAAAGACTACATTACAACAAAGGCATTTGTATAGGGTAGAGAAAAACATACTGGTTCTAATCGACTTTAATGACTTGCTATCAAACGCGAACAATCTGGAATATCAAGGTTGTTTAATAGTGACATCGGCCGCATTATAAATTGTTACACATTTACTATAAAAGTAATTTACAAAATAAATTCCTAAATAGGAAAGATGTTGATGACAATTTGTTGACCGAATCACAAAGGGAAGCCCTGAATAAATGAAGAACCACTCCCCGCATGCGATTCTTCTTTCTTTCTTTCATTTTTTTTTTTTTTTGGGGGGGGGGGGGGCGGCAGCCATTTCTTGTTTTGACGGGCCCCGTTGCATAAAACTTACCATTGGTGGAAACTTTGCCATTAGTGATAACTATCGTGCCAACATCACTCAACAGCCAATTAAACCAAGGTTTCCATGGAAGCTAATATTAATGCAATTCAAGTTACCATCAATGGTAAGTTTTATGCAACGGGGCCCAATAGTAGATGATGAGGATGGTGAAGAAGGGGGGTAACCCTCCATCCCGTTGAAGCCGGGAGAGGAGGCAGGGCAACAATCCGTTTATTATGATGACCGGGAAGGGGAGTTTACACAATAGTCATTAAAATGAGAAGAACCACTGCAATGCCATACAATCACCTTTGTTAGTTCGTGGCGATTGAAAATTTAAGCTACAAATTGCATTCTCCTAATATACCTAACACATCAATTCATTAAAAAAACTAAATAAAAAGTCAATTGATTACCTCTTAATGAAGTACGTTTTATTTTCTCCACAATAACCTGTAAAAAAAAACAACGCAGAGTGCCACGAATAATCAAAAGCATAATTTGCATATTCATGGTAGTCCATTTGGGGGGGGGGGGGGGGGCAGCAGCCATTTTTTGTCATAACCAAGGAAATGGAGGGGCGAGGGACAAAATCATAATTGGATAGGAAGAAATATGCTCCATCAGCCACACGTTTCTGCGTTTGGGCCGGGAGGCAAGGGGAGTGTATAGAGCAGCAGCTTTTCTTCTTCCTCTCTTCTTCTTCTTCTTCTTCTTCTTCTTCTTCTTCTTCTTCTTCTTCTTCTTCTTCTTCTTCTTCTTCTTCTTCTTCTTCTTCTTCTTCTTCTTCTTCTTCTTCTTCTTCTTCTTCTTCTTCTTCTTCTTCTTCTTCTTCTTCTTCTTCTTCTTCTTCTTCTTCTTCTTCTTCTTCTTCTTTGTAATCATGACCGGAGAGGGGGGGGGGGGGGGGTTAAAGAGATTACCTGAGAATATACTTTCTGCGTTCACAAATTCAGTTAATTGCTAATTTCACATTACTTGTGCATTTTCTTCATTTGTTCAAAAGTAATTTGTCAATGTCTGAAAATGTTTTTATATTTATTCGGTAAAATTAAATTGTTTTGTATTACGTTATTGAACGCAGAAATAAAATTAAATCAAATAGAACAAACAAATGAATGAAAAGCACAATCCGACTCCACATCAAACACCTTATACTTGCATGTGGAGATAGGAAGTGGCAATTCATATAGTCGCGACCGTAGAGCAGGCACGTAGCCACGGGGGGGGGGGGGGCATGTGCCCCCCAAATTTCCAAGATCGGTTGAACTTTTTAAGACCCCTCCCCAGGACGTCGATCGATTACATGTCCCCCAAATATCAAACTCTGGCTACGGCCATCCTGTAGAGAGAATGTCACATGCGAGCAGGCATGTTGAGTCTAGGAGAGTAAGATTTCGAATTGTGAATTTGATCACCCTTTACATTCTTAATATTAAACTCACATAAATCCAACCCTAATATATAGCTCCTATAAAATTTATATACAGCGGTTTTAAAATAAACTTTCAATTTCGCCTTAATTTTTACAAGTTGAGGGTTATAATCTCCTTTAAAGTTTTGATACCACGCCTGGCCAGTATTATTCCTAGAACCACCCCTGTCATACACGATCAAGTGGCGCAGCATATGCCCGCTCATTCAATGTAGGATACACCAGGCGCAGATCCAGGATTTCTTAGGGGAGGGGGCCTAATTTTTTTTTTTTTTTTGCTCCCGAAAATTTGAAAATCGCGCCGGCCGAAAAGTCGCTCAGTGGGGGGGGGGGGGGGGCGGCGGTAGTGAGCACTATTTTGTTTTGCTCCCATAAATTAAAAAATTTGCACCCCCCCTTGAACCCCCCAAAAAGGTAAAAATCACGTGTTTTTACATGATTTTTTCTCAAGGGGGGGGGGGGCCGCGCCCGGCCCCCTCCCGGATCCGCCTCTGGGATACACTATTTGCGTTTGTTTCGACGACGAGTTCTTCACGAAATAGGGTGGTTTTATGTTGTTATAATAAATGCGTAAATTTCTATTTCATTTTATTGTCTTTGGTCTGAGCATGATTACATAATAGGCCTACTTAAAACCTTGCCTAAAACATGGATATGAATAGCCTAACATGTTCCAGTTAATATGCCTAGGCCTATACCTCAAATAGTTTCTGAGTATACAGCCTATTCAATGGATTAAGAAAATAACTCCGATGAGTTCAAATTTCCGATGACTTTATTTCATAATAATCGACAGGAACTGAACTAGCCAAAAACATAGCAATCTCCTATGTGCTTGCTCAGCTCAGTCAGCTGGGTTGTGTTTTTAATGAAGCCCCCTAATTGCGTTTCACATCGATTAGCTGTTGAAGCCGAATTTCTTGGCATGACTAATAGATGATTATAATTATAAAGATAATTACATGACGTAAGATTAGGGATGTGCATATGAAATTGTGGTTAATGTTGCTATTAAGCATACATATTTTCTTGGAATATATCTTAATGGATCCTTTTGTCTGAGTGTTAATTATAAAAATAACGAGCTTGCCATGCACATATGCATCAGTAGTAATTAGTCGTCTCTTGCTTCCGATAAGAAAAAAAATGTGTCGTTAAGGTAAGGAGCACTATTTCCCCCTCCAAATTCGTTAGAAAATATTTAGCACCGAATCAACACCCACCCCCCCCCCCTCCTTGCGCCAGGGGGAGGGAGCCTGTCTTCTTTTTTAATTAAAAAAAAAACCCGTTAAATTTACCTGTTTCTTGGCCAGGGGAGGGGGCCTCCTAGATCCGCCACTGGACATACGCATACATTATGTTACCTTACGTAAATATTCTTTTGTATAATACATACAAGTGCTTATCAAATGTTATGTTAACAATCAGGGGCGGATCTAGCTTTTTGCTAAGGGGGGGGGTGACCAAAATAATGACGATGCGGAGCATCGTCCACGAGCCGCGAAGCGGCGAGCCGATTTTTTTGGGGGTGTTTATTTGAACCCCGTAAGTGATGTTTTCCTGGCATCTATTAACACAATGGAGACCATAAAAAGCAGTGCATGATAACGTCTTTTTAAATCAAGTAACAGTTAAATACACAGTTATATCCAGAGTTATCATGTGTTTGGTTAAGTTACCAGATGAGTTGAAAATCTTCTCACAATATTTGCACTTGAAAGGGTTTCTCTCCAGCGTGCGTTCTTTTTTCTTTCTTTTTTTTTTCACTTCGGCGGTGGCCCGTGTCCTCAAAAAAGCTGATGGGGGGGGGGGGGGGGCAAGGGACTCTGTGACATTTGTTCGCCCAACCCCCCCCCCCCTCCCCCCAAAAAGAAATAATAATAATAATAATAATAATAATAATAATAATAATAATAATAAATGAAATAAATACATAGAAATAGAATAAAATAAAATTACAAGTTTAAAAAAAAGATAAGATTTAAAAACATGGTCCCCGGATTTTTTTTTTTTTGGGGGGGGGGGGGTTGCAACCCCCCCAACCCCCCCTCTAGATCCGCTTCTGACAATATGCCGGCACAGGAATGGTGCATATATTCCAGATACATTGGTGGGAGACTTAGATGTAGTTTCAAAAGGGCAAACAAAAATTACACATCTTCTTCACTTTCGAAGTGATGTTTCTAAGTACACGAAGTGGAACCTCTCAATTTGATAAAATCTTTGGATATTTTAGGTTATTTCAACCTCAAATGATATAATCCGCGCCGCCTAAACCCTTGAACAATAATAAATTACCGTGTAGGACCTATACATCACTGTACTCTATTTAGACTCCCCAATGGACTCCCCAGGCAGGGATGGCCTATCCCATTCGGGCTCCATTATCACCTACTCAATTAAAACAATTAAAACAATCAAAACCTAAAAAAACAAACAATCATGTGATTGCGAATTACAGCAAACGACGGTTTCGACACCCCCCTCAAACTAAAAATAACATAAAACAATCCTGAGAAAAGATTTTGTCCAATGCAGCGGAGGGCGCCCTACATCGCGCCGAAATAATGCTTGAGATCGCGAAATCAAAAAATGATTTGACCAAACTCCAAAGTAAGGCAGATTGTTTTCAATTATCTACGATGTTCCTCTCTTTATATTAGGTAATTTTAGCTCCTAACATTTTCAAAGTATCATCTTAACTGCAAAGGTAAGTGTAATGTATCATAAAAGGTGAATTATAACCTTTATGAGGGTGTTGCTTAAGCTTTGCTAGTGCATTTGGCTTCTGAACAGTCCCGTTCAATGTAAATTGTGTTTGTTGTGAATTGGGGTGCAGTGCAATATGTGTACGTGTGTCTGTCTTTGTAGTTTCGTGTATTTTCAGTAGGGGTGCTGGTCCGAGAATAAGGATCATCCATATAAATGAGGATCAAATTTGTAAACGCCGACAGACGTGTCTGCACAAATAAGGATCATGTGCATTTTCGGCTTTCCTATCTGCACGTTCAACGTTGGCATTCTGAAAAAGGGATTTCGCGATGATTTTCTTGATGCATTTCACATTGAATTTGTACAGAGACTTTCACGTTATGAGTGATAAATCCTCAGGAAGACGGACAACCCATTCAAATTTATTAGGCGGAATCCTTTTTTCGTATCGCCAGGGCGCAGATCGGGAACAATTGTGGACGATCCTTTTTTTATGACGCATTTACGAGGATATCCTCATTTATAGGGACGATCCTCGTTCCAGGACCAGCGCCCCTACTGATTATATGCAGCACTGAGAAAGATTATAGAAATATGGGATATATCATGGTTTTGGAAATCACTCATTCCACTGCTTCAACTGCTTGTACTCTTTTTTGTAAAGACTCTATGCTTGAGTGGGAAAGAATTTAGAAGAAACTATTTAATTATTAACTGTGTCAGTGTGTGTTTATGAATGTGATGAAGATAAATATAAAGTGCTACTGACAACTCTGTGGAGAAAATGGTGGTTTCCTTTTTCATGATAATACCAAAATACTTGTGGAATCTTGGCAAATGAGCAGTTGTAAATTTGTAGACCTTGTAAGTTGTTTGACTATATTTCTAAAGTTAGAATTCATTTCCCACTTAACTAAGTCTAAAAAAAATCTGTGTTTCAAGGGAATCACATCTCCTTTCCATCACTTAAAAATAAAAGAAAGTCAAAACCGTTTTTTTTAATGAATTTTTAAATATTGACCATCTGTTGACTTCTGTCACATACTTACATGTACCATGTCAGCAAGATATCTGTATCGAACACTTTCCATTATTTTCTTTCAGACCTGGACAGAAATTTGAAGGGAAGCACCTTTCTTTCTGACGAGTCACTGATTTGCTCCTAGCCTCAAGAACATGGCAAGCAAGAATAAGAAACGGAAGCGGTCATTTTCCCCTGAACCTGCAATGCCAGATCATCCTCCCATTCAAAAATTTAAGTTTAAAACAATGCCACAACTTCCCCCAGATTCCAATTCATCGAGCAAAAAGAAATCTTCCAAGAAGCGCAAGCAAGAGTTCTCACCTTTACCTACCACAAGTGTGTCTCCTACTGGTGATTGGGGCGAAGATGATGGGGGACTGAAGATGAAATTTATTCTGTCACCTAAAAAGACGAAGGTTGATACATCCCCAGAGAGTGATGCGACAGAAGAGAGGTCTCCTCCTCCCAAGGGGACCGGTAAAGGGAAGAAGAAAGGCAAGCAAATCAAAGCAAAGTTGTTCTTTGAGGATCAAGTGCTTACTCTTGATGGTGAGGAGGTGACTCACCAAGACGTGATAAAGCCTGGCAAAAAACGAAAGGCAGGCATCAAACATAGTCCAGAAGACACAAAGTCGACTAAAAAGAAGAAGGATGCAGATAAAGCTAAAGTCAAAGAGGAACCAACGATACCCCCTTTTACAAAAGTTCCCAAAAGTGCAGACAAGTCCAAGATAAAATCCATCAAAGCAGAATCCGATAGTGGATACAGTGATACTCCAACAACCTCAGCAAAGTCAAAGAAGCTAAAAACAAAGCTGCAGACGTTGGAGGAACAGCCGGTTCCCAGTCCACAAGCCTCGGACGTGTCTAGGGATTCCCTTCCTAAGAAGAAGAAAAAAGAAAAGGACAAAAAGAAGAAGAAGATGTTTAAGTTCAAAGGAGATCGCAATAGGTTTCTGAATGTTAGGGGGTCTTCTGATGAGGAGGGGGGAGATGACAGCTTCTCGAGATCGATTCAGGATGAAGACAGCTTGGGAGGGGGCTATGACCTGGAGGATGAATATGATAGCAACATCCAGAAGGTGAAGTCCAAAGAAATGGACAGGTTCATGATGCCTCAAATGCCCGTGCCAGATTACAACTTGGAGAAGCAAGCTGCAGAGAGCTACTCGGCCAGCACGAAAGCCAAATCTAAGAAGGACGATAGGAATGAGGGCGAGATTCAATCGTCTCGCGCTGAAGATCTCATCTCGCAACTTACGGCTTTCGGTTCTGATATGGAGACTATCTATCCCAGCTACATGATGGCTCCAGACGAGAATAAGGAATTAGATGATGGAGGGTGGATCAAAAAGAAGAAAAAGAAGAAGAAACTGGCCAAGGAGAAGAAGAAAAAGAAGAAGAAACCAAATCTTTTGGAGAGGGATGAACATGGGAATGTCAAGGTGAGATTTCAATACACCTGTATTTTAACTCTAGTCATTTTTCTGGAAGATAATCTTGTTGTATAAAGTCTTAATCTCATATTTCATACTTTTTTCTCCAGACAACTAGATTCTGCCAGTTAATTTAATAATTTCTCAAAGATCTTTCAATGAATAACCCAAAGTGTTAGTTTTTAGTACAGTTAAGATGCAAACAAATATATAAAAATAGTCAACAACTCAATTTCAAGTTTATTTATTTCATCATCTTATATGAAAAAAAAACTATGGTTAAAAAACAAACAAACGCATTTTTAATTGTACAAATAGAAAATAGTGACAAAGAAAAATGGAAACATCAAAAGTATAATTACAATGAATGTGCTTGATTGTCCTGAAATATGACTGTGATATATAACTTGATATTGATTTTTATCTGTATCTTTAGACACTGCAATCTGACTTAACCAGATTGTAGGATAACATCTGTGGTTACATGAACCTTTAAAAACTAAACATTCAGGTTGCGAGTAAAATCGAAATCGAAGAGCTGTGTAATCTTTCCTGTCGGATATACTTTGAGCCAACCTGAAATATCATTTTGTTCGAGTTTAAAGAAAAAAGTTATAGAAATATAAGATAATGTACACTGTACTCTGAGCGATTCATCAGCTGAAGTGATCAAAAATTAATTGTCACCTTCCTTTTTTTATTCTCCAGTATGTTATGCGGAAGACCAAGCTATCTGGATACATGTTATGGTGTAGAAGTTACAGATCAACTTTTGTCTCACAAAACCCTGGACTTGGTAAGTAAAGGCTTTTCCATGCTTGCAGAATTTAACGTCTAGGCACATATTATAAAAGCTAATTGATTTTAAAACATGGTTTAAATATAGTTTACAGGTGTGTATTAAGCATCTTCTGTAAGTGTCAAATTTCTTTATCACACTTTCCTCATATTCCTCTTATTAATTGTGCACCAGGTGTCGAGCCTATTAGCTTTTAAAGAAGCACCATTTTAAATTTCTACTTTGCATTATTCATAAAGTTGCTTGATTATTATTCTCCATGTACATATCCTCCTTTTTCCTTGAGCTGCCTTTCCATAGATGTAGTAATTACATGTATGATACACTAAATAGTTTGTCAAAGAATCTTTACATTTGTGCATTTTGTTCTCACTTTTTGAAAAAGCTTTTAACTTTGCTTGTAAAACTGTATTCCTCTTTGCATTTCCTTTTCCTGTGTGCAATCTAGATTTCTCCACGATCAGTCGTCGAATGGGCGCCCTGTGGCAGACGCTGGACGAGGAGGAGAAGAAGCTCTGGCGCAAGAGAGAGATCACCGTCAACACGAAGGTGCCCCTGAAGCGACTCAACAAGGGCAAGGACGGGGCGTCGTCATCGGCTCCGGACGCCCCGCCCTTCCGCCTCAAGACACCGGACAAGCCCAAGCCCAAGGTGAAGAAGCTTGTTCACCCTGTCAAGAGGAAAATTCACACTGCCGCCAAGAAGAAGATTAACGCTGCTCCGGTGAAGATCACCCCGCCCAAGTGGAACCCCATCGACTGCGCCGCGTACCTGAGACTGCTGGGGGAGTCACTGAGTGACGTCGGGGGCAAGCTGCAAACACACAGGGTGAGTAGCTTCTCACAGCTACATCCTGGTGTGATGAAGGTATAAACAAAACAGAAGAAAGGAATCAAAGAAAGAAATTTCTAATTCGTCCACACATTACATGTATATAACCAACTCTTGAGTTTCATAAAAAGGTATCACAATTCAAAAGGAGACAAGTAAGTCCTCATTTATTTCATATTTCATGTATTTCCTAAAGATAAAAGTGAGTTCTGGTAAAAAAAAAAATAAAAAAAAAAAAAGAATCATTACGAAAATTACACTAAATGTTCAAGATTACAAATAAATGTCATTTGCCAAACAATTTTGGTATAAAATGTATACTGGCTGAATAATGAACATAGAAAGATTAGGAATAAAGATTAGTAGCCCCGACACCATTTGTGTAGTCCCATATACATCTTTCTATTCACAGTGCTTGTTACTTTACAAAGACTGGACCTTATTTATTATGATTTTGATGACTCCAGAACTTTGCAGTACACACCAATACTTACCGGGTACATGCTACATGATCAACTTTTTCTGATCCATTCCACACCTTTTCTTTCACAATGCAATCGGATGACCAGAACTCACCTTTATCTTTAAAATCAACATTTTCCTTTTCTGTCATCTACATGTATATCTTCTTGATTTTCCCTGAATGTACATTGTATATCTCACATGTATAAAGAACCCTTCTTTATCTGAATTCTACACAGGATAATATTGAGGTCCATGGCAGTGTGTCTGTCCTGTTAGACTCCATGCTGTGTGCTCTGGGCCCTCTACTGTGCCTTACAGAACAGGTTCCTGAGCTCAATGCAATCAATAAGAAAACCAAGGTAGGTCAATGAGATTTTGAAAGGCAATCTAGTCCTGATTGTAAAAGAATTTTAAACTTCAGTAAAAAAAGATTTGAAAGTTACGATTCTAAAAGATGACTCAATACCTTTTCGTATGGGACCAGGAAAAAAACCTTGTCATAACAAAGCTCTTTATAATGAAGTTCCACTGTATAATGAAGCTTTGTTGTATCAGGGTTAGGGACAATAGAAAACAAAGAAGTGGAACTAGCAAAATAACCTTTATATAACAAGAGTTTATACAGTAGGCTTGCAGTTGGCCATGTGAGAGAGAGAGAGAGAGAGAGAGAGAGAGGGGGGGGGGGGGGGGGGGGAGAGTATAGGGGAGTCTGAAAAGGACTATTGGTAATTTTTCTTGAGCTTATAGTTCTAAAGAGAACTTGAGTAAGGGACAAGAAGGGGAAAAATCAGGAAGAAAAAAATCAGGAAAAATAAATAAATAATTGTTTTACGTGGGAATAATCAATTTTTTGTCCCATTTCTTTGTCTTCCACAGACTGGTGTACTCGACAACATAGCATACATCATGCCCGGACTATGAACCCACCCCAGTGTGTAAGGTCGTATATGGACTGGAGTCAATGGAAGCATCGTATATTCCAGCATATACATATTTTGTTTATAGGCAGTTTGAGCATTCCTCGAGATGAATATGAGCACATGAAAAATGTGGCTACTATTTTATTAGATAATATTATTTCTCGATGCATTTCCAGTTACCTGTTATTCATTTTGATGGAAAAACTTTTACAGTATAAACACTGACTCAAAATAGGATGCATATAGATGTAAAAATTGAAAAAAGAGAGGAAGATAAAAATAATAACAATGAGATGAAAGAATATTTGGAAACTTTGACATTTATTAATCTTAATAATACTCCATTGCACATGTACAGTTTTTGTTTCCATTTTCCTTACTGTACTGTACATACTGTACAAAATAAGCTAGCCATACAGCTGGATGTAAATATACATTGTTACTTTGCCTTTGAACAATATTAAAAACATCTGTAAATTAGACATCTGTTGTACATGTTTACTTATGTTCTCTTTGCGTATTGATAATTGTATTGATCTAATAAATAATGGACTACTTGAAAGGCAGAATTCTACTAAAATGTTACTCTAATTACGAACATACAATGAATCAAGCCAAATAATTTTTGTCTTTCCCCTATCCAGTACCATTTGGCAGGCATGTATTTAGAGTCCAAATTTATGTGTTGTATACCAGACTTTTCTAATCTGATCCTAAACACTACATTACATTTTTAGTTATGCTTAGATTTTTGTTGTTTTGAATACAGGTATTAAAAAGGAAACAAGAACAAAGAGTAAATCTGCAGTAAAACCCGTTAAAAAAATCATTCATTTGCTTGAAAATCATAGAAAGAATACATTGAATAATGAAAAATTAAAAAAATAATTTTTCAATAAAACTATTGAAGACATGTAATATGGTTATGAAGTGTAGCGGAAGGAGACAAAATTTTAGAGCATGAAAATACTTCAGATTTCAGATTTTTTACAACAGAAGTATTTCAAACTCAAACAGAAGGGACACTGATATAATACTTTTGATAAATATATATGTATGTTGATAAAACATTGATAAAACCCTAATAACCTCTAAAATGAATAATGTTGTAATACTGGCAGTAGACGGTGTCTGATTATATATATGAATACCCACAGTTTTACAATGCACTGTTTTTTTTCATGAAAATGGACTGGGACAAACGTAAAACAATTTTGATAAAAGTACTATTATTGCCTGCAGAACCATAACATTTCACATGTCTTGTATTATCAGTACTAAATTGAGGGAGGGAGGGGGGGGGGGGGGGGGGGGAGGTTAAGTATAATACTTCAGTGGGTGTAGTACTTATTATTTGCAGTACCATACAGTATAATAAGTCACATACATGTACTATTTCAAAACTAAAATCGGTTCTTAAAAAAAAAACTTCATTTAACTCTCCTTTCTTTTCATACCAAATTCATTTCATATTCTTTCTTTTTGACATTGCCGTCTGTCTCAATCTTATCCCTATTTCTCAGTATTTCCTGAATTCCATTTACATGAAGAGGGGTTCAACAATACACAGCCCGAGTTAACTACTGTACCATAAAAAGCACTGAAAGTGTTGAAATTGTTTGGTATTTATCGCAAATAAATATATACCATATACGGTACTTGTATACAAAATAATCTGACAAATTTTTATGCTTGGAATGTCATTTACTTAAAAGTCTCAATATCAAGGTCAATACAATCCTGATGCTGCCGCTGCCAGCCAAAGAGAGATCTATCAGTTCATGAGTGTCAACAGATGCAGTGTTTTTGTCATAATGATATTTATTTGACGGTCTCGATCATCTGGTCGACGGCATCCCAATCGATATCTTCCAGTTTGTGAGAGTCAACAGATGCAGTGTTTTTGTGGTAGGAATGTTGTTTACTTGACGGATTTGATCATCTGATTGATGGCCTCCCAGTTGATATTGCTCATGATGCTACCACTGCCAAACCACAGCGATATCTTTCAGTTCATGAGTGTCAACAGATGCTGTGTTTTCGTGGCAGGAATGATGTTTACTTGACGGTTTCGATCATCTGATCGATGGCATCCCAATCGATATTGCTCATGATGCTACCACTGCCAACCGATGCGATATCTTCTAGTTCGTGGAGGTCGACTGAAGCAGCATAGTCCTCATAATCCCGATCTTCAATGTCACTGTTCTCGTACTGGGGCTCTGTGATGGTTTCCAAACCCTGTAAAGAAAACACATAAACAATTTTTTTTTAAGTAAAGAGGAAATTTGATTAAATTTATTCAAACAGCAATGAAGAAATAATTATGTTCCTTACTTTAGTCGATGCAAAGCATCATTTAAAAAAAAAATCCTACCTGATACATTCAATACCTTTATTTCTTTATCATTCTTCTATCATTTGATGTTTTGTACTTGAAAAACAAAAAGTAAGCTTAAATCAAAATATGCTTTCACAATCTGGAAGAAAGAGTGAGTAAAACTGAGGACCGAGGGGGGTTTCCCCCTTTCCAGATTCTCATACAAATCAACCAATTCTCACACATTAGAAAAATATTCCTTATACAAGTAAATTCTTTTCAACAAGTTATCATTTATAATATCAAGTGATATAAACAAAGTAAATTTGGCTACATAGAAATTTAAAAACAAATATGAAGAAAAAAAGAGAATCACAAAGTACCTCATCTAGGTCGTCATCTTCCTCCAACAGCCTCCTCACATCATCTGAGACGCTCCATGGACTGAGCGCGCTCACATCGGACATCTCATCCTGCACCCTCCCTGGCTGTCTCGTACCCATCTCGTACGGCTGGTGTCTGGGTGAAGGGGTGCGGAGGGGCGGCGCCTTGTGGGTGTAGTACGTTCCTGTTGGCACTGGTTTTGCACCTGTAACAGCAGAACATTATAATAATAATAACCAACAAAAATTCCAGCGGGGGCCTGTCCCTTAGTCTAGAGGTATGTTTTCAGATGTTTTTTTTTTATAAAGAAGTCAAGTGGAGTACTATTTCTCAGAAATGCAGGGATTTCATTTCATATGAATATGAAGAATTTATGGGGATAATCCTTTACCTAATATAGCATGATTATAGGAGGAATGGTACTTCACCGATTTCTTGAAAAAAAAAACATTTGAAAAAACATACGTTTGTCAAGTTTTTTATATTAGTTCTTTTCTTAAATAACACTCTCAATTCCCACTTGGGTAACAAACAATAGCCCAAACCATGCTCACCATAAACAGTTCTGTGCTTTGTTGGAGGGGCTTCTGCAGCATTCTGTTTGAGTCTGTCTACATAAGGCACAGGTTCATGGGCTCTGGGTTTGACTCTCATACCAGGGTTGACACGCGGACTGACGATAGGCTCTGTGAAGATGCAAAAAAGGAGAACAATTGTGACTTTGTGATTTAGTGAAATGTGATTTTCAAAAGGGTTTTGCAGGTCTGTTTGAGCATTGCTCATGAAAGCAACCCATAAACTGCATGACAAACAAATGAACTTCAACTTGTTCCCCTCAAATTAATACCAACACCAGAACTCCAGTGTATTTTTACAGATTATAATATTAATATTTTACATTTGCATATGCAAACAACATATTGAAGAAGCAGAATACATGTACCTCACTTGTCTGTTTTCTTGGGGGCCTGAGCAAAAATAAAGGGGGTCTGCATATTTGACATTTTGATGAAGATGATGATTTGCAGCACTTATTATGATACCATATTTCTGTTTAAAAACACGAAAAGGCTTGGGCTCCTCTCAAATGTTAAAGGTTGGAAATAAAGGTGGTGGTGGTTGGGAGGGGGGGGGGGGGGGTCCGTATGTATCAATCCCTTTTAGTGTCACACTCTCATTATAGCTTTCACATCATTACATAAAATATCAATTGTTCTAATGAACATACATCTATTCTGACAAACGAAACAATTACTTATGGCCACAAGGTCTCAAAGCTTCACATACCTCTGCCCCTATGGGTGCCTGAGTTACCGAGTTGAGCCAGCATGGCTGTGTAGGGTGTAGAGGACCTTGGTCCTGGTTCCGGTGTGATGCCTCGTCTCTCCACCTGCTGACGTCTGCTTTGTCCAATCGTCATGGTAGCTGAAAGATGGACAGATAACAAATCTCAATGTTTGAATACTACAAGGGCAGTGTTGATTATTTCTTCTACTATTATCAGATGAGCCATACTGCTTTGGGGACATTATGGGGGATAAGTATCTAGGACATTTACATTTGCTTGTTTGTCAAACAAAAGTGCAACTGGTTAAGAGTTCCTACATGTGAAAACTATAAACTGGATGAAATGGAAATAATTTACTGATGAGCTGCAACCCGTATTAGACATCCCTAGACCCATTTTGATATTTATTCTGAGTCAATTTAGCTGAAAAGGTTTATCCATTTCTCAATACCTCGCAATAAATTAATCGAAATATGAAATCAATGGATGATCCAAAAGCATGTACCAATGGCTCAGGAGTTGAAGAAGTGAAAAACGTAGCACAGATAATGAAGGAAAGGATAATGGAAGTAAAGCATCGAGAAGACAATTATTGAGAAAATACAAGAACAGAAAAGAGCTGGGTGGTCTTGAAATGACATTGTCCTATTTCATTAAGAAGCACTAGGAGATACGTGGCATATTAAAGTAACCTAGTTCTCTTATTAAATCGTTAAATCACCTGTGCCTGGTCTATCTTGTTGACTAGGTCTGGGTTTCGGCCTCTGGACCAATCGTGTGCCCTGACCCCCACTGCCTTGGGCGCCTCTCATCTCTGCTAGCCTCTCTGTGTATGTCTTGGGTGTCTTTGTGTACTGCTTTCTGTTCTTATTCCACCCTGGTAATCTTGTGGAGCCTGAAATGATCGCCGAAAAATATACCAATGCTGAATATTCTGTGAGCAAACTGGCTAGAAAATATGCAACTGTGCTTTTTTTGGCAAGGCTGAAAATCTTTCAGAAGAATTTTGACTGTTGTACAGCACATTTGGACTGACGGTTAGGATAATGTAATCTTCCTACAGCAGAAAAAATTAACAGCACAGTAAAATTATTTCACATTCATATTCATAATTGGAATAATGAACTAAACATGAAATGCGACTCTCAAAATGTTTTTGCAGCAAAATCTTTATGCATGCTGTTTCAAACATTTGTTTCTTTTCTTTTTTCTTTTGATTGGGGGAATAGAGAATATCAGTTTAAAGAATTCTACACATATCATAAAACATGTGAAGTATATCTATTATTTAAAAGTGCATACCGTACAATCGTTGCTTCGACTTGACAGATGATGGTGCCCTACTGGAGGTGACTTCAGCCTTCATCTCCTGCAGCATATCAGTGTACGTCTTTGCTTTCCTCGGAGTTCCTTCCCTCTTCCTGGTGGCCTCTGGTCTCTGTACCCTGACAACATCTGTGAACGCTTTGGGTTTATGGTACGTCCCAGTTGCAGACTCCAGCTCTTGATGGCTGCCAGCGTTCTCCTGGTCATCCTCATCATCTTCACTACGCGGTGTGACTAGGTCAGACATTTCTGCAAGCACCAGCTGCAGGTCATCCTCGCTTGACCGTCTAGGGTCTACAAAGTGGACAGAACGTTCCATGCTAGCCCGAAGCGATCTTCCTGGTGGCCTCCTGTCAGTGCTACCTCTGTATGCAGGATGCTCCTGTCGCCGATCCTCAATTTGTCCTCTCTCTTGGTGGTGTTCATGATCATCTGCACGTCTGTTGCCTTCCGCTGCAGGACCTCTGTAGGCCTCACTGTCGATGAACATGTAGGTCCCCTTGGGCAGTGGCCTTCCACTTTGCTGACCTCGCCCATCATTCCTCACCACATTACTTCTATCACCCAGTAGCCGAGTTGACGACATCCTGGAGTCGGCACCAGTTCTGGGTTGCGGTGTTGCAGCAGTTCTTACCGACGGTTGTGGAGTTGCTGCCGCTCTCGACGATGGACGTTGAGTATGTCTGGCTGTTGGAGTAGCTGTGCCTCGCATCGAAGATGTTGCTTGCTTTCTCAGCTTGTTGGAGCGGTCTTTCCGTGGCTCTATCAAGGGTCTTGGAGGCAGGCTGGGCTTGTCCTCAAAGATCTGTCCCATGAGGTCCTTAGCCTGAGCTATTCTATCCTCATGGTAATCCCGAGTCTTGATTCTGTATAAAGGGAGATGGACACAAACAATGTAGCTGAAATGAATCTTTGACAAAAATATGTGTAAACTAAAATTCTTATTTCATAAATAACACTCATAGGAAAGACTGAGACAATAACTGCTACAGTTTTAAGAATGTCTTGATGATCAGAAAATCACTGATTACTTACTGTTTTTTGGTCTTCTTCTCTTCCTCTGCTCTTTTGATTTCTTTGGTTGATGTTGGAATCTAAACAATGAATCAAATAAAAAAAAAGCATGTTATAGTATGATGATCAGCAAGTGGAAATAAAACATAATTCTATTATTAAAGCCCATCTGTACTAGTTTGGCCAGGCAGGATTAGACCTCCCTGCGTGGTCACTGGTAGGTGGTTATCTCATGAAATCAGCTCTCCATTAACAGAAGAAATAGGGGACCACTTTAAAGTAGGGAAATCGAATGTGCAGTAATATAAATAAAGCAATGAAGCATTCCCTGCATCTATATGCCACATTTGGAAAGAGCGCAGCAAGCATTATTAGGCCAATACCAAGCATTCCTCCTGGGACTTCATTATTTTTTCCTCCTGAAAGAAAATTGGGTTAGGATTAAATTCTCTAAATGGTTCGAGCAATCTTCATTGGATGGGATGGCTACATGTAAATCCTGGGTAAAAGTTATTAAAACAGAATAAACTCAAAATTGAAATGAACATTGTGCCAAACATAATGTAAAATAATATATTATTACTACTGCTATCTTTGAATTCAATTCCTCAAGGAACCTTTCTTACCATATCATTCACTCTGATTTCTAATTATAGATTGTTTTGCTTTACAAGCCCTCATTTACAACGAGTTGATGGAGAAAATAATTAAATTATTCTTGCCCACTTCATACCTGCTTCAAAGGGTCCGCTTTCTGTCTGAACGGCTTGTGCTCCCTCTCTATCTTCTCTCCCCTCTTCATCTTATATTCCTCTATCTGCTGTGCTCTCTTTCTCTCCATCCACTCCTTGATCTTCTGTCTTTCCTCTGCAGAGCGTCCCTCGGGCTTGGCAGCGAAGGGCCAGGGTTTAGTCTTCTCCTCGGGGGAGGCGGCTGATCGAGGGGAGAGGAGCTGACGGAGTTGTCTGTCCGTCAGGCTGGTGAGCGGTATGTCAGCCAAGTCCTCTTCATTGAAGCTGTCATGCCTAAAAATGATTGAGAGAAGAATGCTTAATGAAGTTTTCTAAAATATATCATATTTGCATTTAGAGCTATAAAGAAATGCATATATGCTGAACTACTGAACAATCAGATCAATAAAATCAGCTCTCCTTTATTCAAGTTCTCCATACATTTTCAGTGAATCATAAAATATATAGGTCATTAGAGTAATTTATCAATCACATCCATAATGAATGAACACAAGAATTATCAATTCATCAATCAATCATTCCAGCATATCTCTACATTGCATAATAAGCAACTTTATGGCCTTTTGAGCAAAAAAGAGACACGTTACAGAGTTTTAAAGACCATCCAAAAAATGCTTGTACCACAGATACCTGTATATTATACACAGCTTGTTTGAGTATTAGAAGTTATATGTAGTAATAATAATATTCGATTCTTGTATAGCGCATATTATATTATATAATGTCTCAATGCGCTTCTAAAGAGCTTTGGAAATTATTCCCCTAGCTTTAGCTCCGGCAGCTGTTATCAGCCAACAGTGCATTTCAAGGAATAATCCTACCAGTTAGCAGGGAGAACAGTATGCAAACTCAACCATTCATGTAACATATAACTATCATTCAGATATCCCAATATGTGATTCTATACTTCACGCTTCAATTCATGAGCTTACATGTATCTCGTCTGAACGCGTTTCTTGGCAGCTCTCTTCTGCCGTTCTGTGAGTCCAAACTCATCGGCGTCCACATCGTCCCCGGCGATGACCTCCGCAATGATGTCACTGACCCCACTGATACCAGAGATACCGAGGGTCAAGTCTCCTTCCGTCAGTAATGTCCTATTCAAAGCAAGAAATGTATCATTAAAACCAAATGAATTCGGTAGATTCTGTTTAAATTCACACACAAAGCTGTTTAGTTTTTTTTATTTTCTTTTTGATTATCTTATTATTTGTTTTATTTTGATTAGCCTTTTCTGTCTCTTTCTGGATTCAATGACCAGCAAATAAGAAATCAGGATTGCCTATCAATTACATATTGTTTCATACTAAGATTCAAATGACATGCTATCCATCATATCATATTGGTATAAGGGGTTTTGAGACTATCATTTTTGTTCTTAGGATATCATTGAGCTTTTAAAATCTCTATACTGCTCTCTATCTTACAGATATTTGTACCAGTCCATATAAAATCCAGTACAAAAAGAACATTTTAGAAATGGTATTTCTATGATCTGTAAATATATAATCTGTAAAAAATATAAAAATGTAATAATCTCATTTTAACAGTGATATGTTTACATTAGATGGTATACACACAAGCAGGATCATTACCTTTCAGCATCATCCTCCTTATCTTCCCCTCTTTCTTCCTTTTCATCTTCCTCCCTTTTCTCCTCTTCTTTAATGTTTACATCACTCTGCTTATCCCCCTTCCTGGCCTCATCCTTTCTTCTCTCATCTTTCTGACAAGCATCTTCATCACCATGGCGATGATCGGATGAAGGGGGTGGGGCATCAGGGCTTGCATCAGTCTTGGGTCCTTTGTAATCTTTCAGGGAGTAGTCTGGTCTTGGCCTTGCGTCGGCTGGTCCTTGGGCCATGGCATCTGACAGGTTCTCAACGGTATGAAGCAGCTAAAGAGAAGAATAAAAGAAAAAGAGAAAATATTGGCATCAATAACAAGATGATGATATGAGTCAGACTTGTATACAGTGTAGCAAGCACATTACAGGCAAATCTTACACGTAAGACTTAATGTAGACTATGGAATAGCAATTTCTGATAGAGAAATACTTTTTAAAGAATGATTTAATTCCTACTTACTTGTGTTCAGAAATGTGGATGCATTTCCAATAATGCAAACATAGGAACTGCTATAAAATAGACTAATAACAAGAAGATATGTGTGATCTGTGAAGCCCCCTGCCTGAAATGTAAGATCTATAACAATGTGCACTGTGTGTTTAGGTGTGTAATCCATTGTAACACCATTGGAAGTCCATGAACAGGTGTTGCTATGTATCATTGTTTTCATAATAAACTCACCATACCAGTTGCCAGCTATTTAAATAAAACTCCTTAGAGTTTGGTATCAGGACTTTGAACAAGCATGGAATGCCGCACCCTATTAGGGTGTGGCATTCATGCTTTCATTTTTATGACAATTTTATTGGCAAATAAAAGAAATACAATGGACACATAGCAAATATTTATCTTTGTATTTTAGGTAGGATCTTGTGCAGGTCTGTACAAAGCCTTTTGAAAATGGGGGGGGGGGGGGGGGGGGGGGGGGGCTGGGCTGCATTTCAATTCACCCAAATATATTTTATTCTGTGCATGGGCAGATAATCAGTTCTATTCGAACTTACACAATTTCATTGCTCATTTTGGAGCAGGTAGATATATTAACATTCCTGTTTGCACTGACTTTGGGAAATGTAAACAAAGTGTAGTCAATGAGCCTGGAAAACAAATGTAAACATACTCGTTTCCTAGCGCTATTAGTTACTAGACTGACATGACTGACGAGTCACATACGATGTACAGGTGGTCATGGAAATATGTGTATTATGAGCTGGTAAGCGGATCATCTGTACAAACATGTGATGTGTTGTCATTCATCAGGAATGCAATGAAAACAATTCTCATAAAAAAATCCAATAGAAAAGAAAAGCCAACAAACTGTATATTAATATTAATATTAAAGGGCCTACAATCTTAAAACTTGTAAAAGGACCACAATTCAGCTCAGAAAAACATCTAAGGTAATACAAGGTAATACAATGTAGAACACATGGTCAGCAACTTAGTGAAAATGTGCTTTTTATGGTGCATCTATCATCCATAAGTTATTTTAAACTGAGCACAAGAATTCATAAGGTCCTAAAAGTCAACTACGCTAAAAAAAAATATGATTGTCTTGAAAATGAAAGCAATCTGAAGTAAATCTACAATTTTATTTTTATAGTCACATACATGAAGGTGTAACCAAATTAGGAAAATAAAGGAATTATGTTTTTCCTTGACTACCACTTAGAATGTTATCATCAAATTGTTTACCCAATTAATTAGTAGGTTGATTAAAAATACTTTCAAGACTGTACTGAATATTTATCACAAATAATGAGCAACCTATGAAGTGAAAAAGCAGCTCACCAGTTTGGTATTATTGAAATCCCTCTGCATGGATTGGGAGACCTCATCAATAGCTCCTAATCTCTCATTCATCTGGGCTAGCTGATGCTGGATGCGATCTTTGGATTGGTTACGAGATGAGCCGACCTCTGACGCAACTTTCATTCCTCTCCTGGAGTAACAGAAGGTCGGAACACACATCTCAATTGAATTGTTCAATCAATATAAAGATCATATCATAAATGATTATCGCCTGCCAAATGTCAAAAGATGTTAACTCATACTGTACATAGATACAACACCCTTCCGGCTCTTGGCAGAAGACATTCAGTAAATGTTTGGTTGCTAGGAAGTGTCATTTGGAGAAAAATAAATAAACGTCAAACAAAGTACAGAGGTAAACTGCATTTGGCTTCAAACATCTCTTTCAACTTTCAAAAAGAAAAAACTTTTATTCCATCGTTTTAAGCGAAGCCCCAAAATTAAACAATCGTTCCCTCAAACAGATATGGTAAGCTGTGGATGGTTTTTGAAAATAATTTTGCCGCTTTTAGCACAATATTTACAGCTTTGTTAAAAGCAGATTATTTCATTAATTCATCAACTAATTACTAGATTTATATACTCACTCTGCTTTATCAAGCTTTGCCTCCAGTAGTTTCCTTGTCACCTCATCACCAATCCTCTTCCTCCTCTCCGATCCGTCCATCTCCTCCTCCCCATCCTCCTCCAGCAGAGCAAGACCATCTGCAGGGACAGCATCCCGGTGGAAGAGGGAGTTATAGTGCAGCTCTGCTATTGTTGCTTGATCCTCGTCCTCCTCCTGCTCACCACTGGTATCATGTGCACCATCTCCTCTCCTCCTCTTCGCTTCCTTCTCACCGGGTGATCTTCCGAGTGAGCCGTCTCTCTCGGGATGCTGGAATTCATCATCCTCTGGAATTCGGGGTGAAAAGGATGGATTATATTAGGAGTGGATTTGAAATAACTTTTAAACACAGTTTCCAACCATTGCCTCTGCCACTATCATCAGTATCATCCTCATCGATACTTCAACCATCTTATCTCTCCTTCTTCTCCCTCTGTAGTCCTCAGAGTCAGTATGTTGAGGTATATCCCTGAATACATCCTCTCTGTGCTGATACCATCATCATCACAACCATCCCCATAAACATCAAAATCATCACCATCATCATCCTTACCCCAATCATCATCACAATTATCCCACAATCATCATCATCTTTATCATCATCATCACCATCATTATCATCATCATCATCATCAATATCATCGCCACTACCATCAACCTTATCATCCATAGTATCATCACCATCATCTCCTTATCATTTCCATCTTCATCACAATTATCCCCACAATCATCATCATCACCATCATTATCATCACCCCACCACCATTACCATCCTCATCATTATCACCACTATCACCATGACAATCATCATCCCTTCCATCATCTCACCTCTTCTTCTCCTCAGAGGTATATCTCTGAACACATCCTCTGCGTTGATATCAGCAACATGAATGAAATCTCTCCCTGATGAGCCTGGCTGCCCAGTCTATAAATCAGCAGTGGGATATACAAAAAAAAAAGGTTTTTAAAATAAATAAAACAAAAAGCTGTAGCATTATATATTAAGACATTTCCATGATTCTATAGAAACTATAACAACTTTAAAACAGAACCTCCCCTCAAAAGATAGAGAGAGAAAGAGAGAGAGATAGAGAGATGCTTTAATTTTTTTTTTAAACCATTTTATTTTTCATAGGAAAATGAACTATATACTCATTATTCATGCCATGACAAGGTAAATGACCTGGTTTCAGTGTTTGGCAAGAAGCCAAGTCATATATATTTCAGAAGCATTGATGGAATTTGGAGGTAGCGATGAATGTAATTGTGTTTTGAATATATTCTACAATGAAAAAAAAACATGGACGGTTTGCATCTGCATCAATAAAATGACACAACTTCCTACAGAGACAAGTGATCAAGAAAACATGCTGCTACATGGGCCTGTACTAAACAAACCAGTTCACATAGGTCACTTCAAAAGTTATTACAATAGATGGCCGGACACACAGGTCAATAGGAAATTGAAATTATCATGACTTGCTCTCTTACGTCTGGCCCTACTTTAGATGCCTGCTCTTCTCCCGATCTGAAACGGAGTCCGAAGAAGATGTCCGGTGCGATAATGTTCCCTGCTTTGTTGAGACCCGTCGCTGCTTGGGTATACTGCTCCTCAGCCTCTTCCAGTGTCGGCTTGGCTACATTAAAGCAATGAAATTCAAATTAATTGAGAATTAATACCTCATTGAATACTCAGCCCTTAATAACTTGGTCTGAAGTATATGGAAAATAGGCTGACAATATTTCTATCAATGTGCTGTACAACCAGAAACTTTTGCATGCATGAATTTTTCAAAATTTTTCCAGATTCTGTAAAAATGAAAAGTGATTGAATCAAAATACTGAATTTTCACAATCCACAGACATCTCAAATAATCAGATTTTCCTGTTGTTAGAGAGTACCAACAAATCCTTAGGAGGAAACTGTAGTGTCAAGCAAACATATTTTAGATCATTTAGTGACCCTAGCTACATATGTTGCTCAGCAAATACTGACATGACAGTTTCAGAGAACATGCTGCTACATGCACCTTTACTGAACAACCACTACCTTCTTCTCTCGATAGGTCAGTCCTTCCTCTGGCAAGCCTTTCCTGTATGATATCCAAGCCTTCTCTGCCTTCCATCGATGTGCCTGCTTCCCTCAAATCCTTCATCTGCGTCTCAGCCTCTCTTGTTTTGACCGCTGGAGGGGGCTGTTGGAGCTTTATGACGGTCTCGTAGTGAATTTGAGCAGAGGTTGGATACAGAGGGCGAGCATCGTGGTCTTCGAGAGCTTCATCATGAGATCCTGTAACAAAAGCAATGTTTGGCACAATTATAGCATGAGAGTCTAATTTTCAGACATTCAGTGCTGTATGGGGGTGAGGGGTGGGATGCATAAGACACATGATTATCTTTCTTAGGACCCACTAGAAGGAAATGAGCCCAAAGTTCTGTTCCATCCTCCTTAAATTAAGAAACCTTTTTTGTGGTTATGTTGGTTGATATTTGTTGTTCTTTTTGTTACCAAAGCCCCCCCCTCCCTTCTGAAAGACCTCCATAATCTGATACATTTCACTCCATCTAGCCCAAGTACCCCAAATTTTTGTCAAACGTTACCCGATAGTGCATTTGATAGCACATTCAGAGGTACCTTTTCCTTGCCAATATTTCTTCATATGCTGAATGAGCTTATTATAGAGGTGGGATAACCCCTATACAAGGAGGCACATGTTCTAAAGCCTACCTGGTTTTAAGGCATAACCCGCTCCCAGAGCAGAAACTTGAGTCTCTACATCATGCATGGCTACTCCAGGTCTCTGTATGCCTTCCGACTGCATCTAGACAAAGGAACAAAGAGGGGGAAAATGTAAACGTAGTTAGTGTAAAAATTCAATACCAGATGTCATGTGACCTACAAAATCAATATTTGGTTAGCGGCCAGTGTCTATTCTGTTACTTTCTGGAACTTAAGCAATTCTCAGCTAAAGCTACACAGTTTTCTTGTCTTGAAGTATAATGCATTGACACTAATCCACAAAAACAACTATGGCTAATCTCTGCTTGGTAGTAGATAGATTATTATTTCCTACATGAATGCATGAAGACTCCACTGAAGCATGGATGAGATTAAACAAACCTTGTTATCAGACCCCACTAGCATAACCTCCTCATTCTCATCTACTCTCTGCCTTGAAGACACAGTCTCATCTTCTTTGGGCATCACCATGACAACCCGTCCTCTTGGAGAAGGTTTTGGACGCCGTGTCTGCTTCACCTCCTCCTCATCAGATAAAATTTCTTTTAAGATCAAGTCATCAGCCGTTGAAGATATTCTGCCTCTTCTGTTGTCTTTGGGTTGGGTATGTGATTTTCTGATCTTTGCATCTTTTTCTCCCGGCTCAAGTGCTGATCTAGGATCGTTTTCTTTGCTTTCCAATCTCTCTCTTCTCCTCTGCCTGTAAGGAACAAGAAATGTGAACAACAGATCAGTACAATGATAGTCATTTATTAGAATTGTACAGTTTGAATTTCAAAAGGTAAATCATAAGCATCACATTCATCTTTTACTGAATATATATGTTGAAAATCAAGCCCCCACTAACACAGCAACCCATTATGAATATATGTAAATATGTTTAATGGAATTGAACCATCTTTAACTGCATAAACTGTTTATGAGCTGTTGAATATGGTACAAAATATACGAAGAGGTGATGGAAAAATGAAGAAGAGGATAATTTTATAATACAAAGAAAATATAAGAAAGGAAAGACAAGATATGAATAGTACATAAGGAATAAGTTGAATAAAATGATGAAAAATAAAGTGCATTACCTAGAGGTTGTTGCAAGTACATCTGCTGTTGGTTCTGGTTCCAGATGTAAGAGTTGCATAGGTCCCCCATTTTGCTTCCTTAATTCCTCCTCCCTCTCTAGATCTCGCCTCCTTTTCTCTTGTTGGTAGGCAAGGATCTCCGCCGGAGAAACAATTGGAAGTTTGGGTTGAAGAGGCCTTTGAAAGTTTGGTTGCAATGGACGTTGCGGTTCAGGGTATTTCAGACATAAGAGAGGGAGGTTTATTCTAGTTCTTTCTGTTTTGGTATGGTACTCTGACTGCACTTGGCTATTCAATGGAACTTGATGCATCAACTGAGGCGCTGCTGGGAACGGTTTGTTCGTGTCAATCCCCAACAGTGGAATGTCAATCTTGCCTTGAGGATGGTAAGCCGAATTTGTCCCTGCGGCCGACGGGTTCCCCCATGCTTCACGTGGAGTGTGCCCAGGTGGGCCATGCTGACCAATCGGGTTTGGAGGATGCATCATCTTGGGTTGAGCCATTTGTGAGTAGGGGAGATTAGAGTGATGAGGGACAGGAAGTTTATAATCTTTCTCTGGAAGGATTCTGAGCAAAGGCATCCCACCGATTATCTGCGGTTGTATTCCTGAAGGGGTATAGTGTGTTTGGCCACGTGGTGTCCGAGTATCATAAGTAAATGATTGCTTGTACAGTGGTGGTTCGGTTGGACCCCTCCTCGGTGGCAAGGAAGCACCTGTCCTTTCTGGTAATACTCTTAACAGCACTATATCCTTTCTGTCAGGAAGTGCAGCCCTTGCACTGTCCCTTTCCCTGGTGGGTATCAAGTCATACTCGCTACCCCCCACCACGCCCAAACCTCCCTCTCGACCTCTCCCGCTGTCTTTCGGTATCGTTAGCAGTGGAAATTCTGTAATCATTCCTGGAATGTTTCTGACAGACTGCTGACCTCCTCCTTGGTGGTAACGAGGTTCCCTAGAGCTTGCCAGGTCCTCCAGCTTCAAAGGAGGCACTCCATTAGTTCCTGCACTCTCCTGTACAGCCACATCAGCACCCATTCCAAACTGACCTTCCCCATCATAAGCCTTTGTACGCTTGCCCTTGAAACTTTCCCCTCCAACACCGTGACTCCTCTTTGTTTCTGTCACATTTGAAGGGCCTGCTATTGACTGCTGCTCATGCCTCACTTGCAGAATTTGATCCATTCTGTTCTGATGACTTTCAAGTTCATTGGAAGACAAGGAACCATTGGAGTTGTGATGCTGCTGTCCATTGGTGGTCTGCTCTAGGTTGTTCAGTATCAATGTCCCTGCTGTATCAAGCATACTCATCATCGACTGGTGTTGTGCCTTCAAACAGAAATCAACAACAATATTTTCTTTTACAACTGAAACAAAACTCCTTTCGATTTCATAATCATTTATTCTGAGAACATTGAGAATGTTTGAAATCATAATAATCACGTTTTATGCATATGTATTCATATAGTTTGTAAATTCAAATAAAAATACCAGTTTTATGGATGAACTGACTTTCAACCCTGACTGCAATTTTTCTGACACCATCTCAAGGAGAAGAGTATTTCAAAAAAGTTTTAATATCATTTTCCCCATAAGATCATATTCCTTACATGGTCCTGCAATGTGTCGGATTCATCAATCATGTAGACTTCCTCTTCAAATCTACAATTTATCTACTTTTTCACAAAATAATTTGAATCTTCATGACTTCATTTATTGTTATTGTAATCAAAACTGTAAGAAATGTCCATGTCTACAGAGCAATCAAGAATATGGGAATCACTTCTTGTACACAGAAATCTCACCTCCATTATTCTTTTGACTTCAGATCTGACTAGCTTCTTGATATCACCATTCTTCTTTTTCCCTCCTCCTACAACGGGTGCTTGAGCTTGAGAGGTCTTCTTGACATCACGTTGCATGTCTGAAGGTAACCTGCGACCCTCCTCATCTTCTTCCATTGCATTCCTTGCATTCCTGATTTGGTAGGACAACAAAAACTACATAAAAACAAATATTCTCAACTATTAAGTGCTTCCCATTTTTCACACGGGCAAAAAAAAAAAAAAAAAAAAATGAAAATAAAGATTTGCAACATTTAAAACAATAATTTGGAAGTACCGGTACAGACTTGCATGTTTTCCAAAACATTCTGTCCATGAATAAATTCTACAACTTTTTAACAATTTGATGAAGATAAAACTTTTCACTCAATTTTGCCCCTCACACGTCCACTCACAGGCCCATCTATTTGGTGAGCATTCATTGCAGGACTACTGAAAAGAAAACACCTCTAAAAAAAAGGTCACTGCAATTTCATTTTGTATTTTTTTTGGCAGAAAAACAAAACGCCATATAACAAATCCATTCAAAAATTCAACATTGAGTAGTTTCGTAAATAGATCTAGAATCTACTCCAAACAAATTAACAAGATTTTATTTTATCTTAGCCTTAGGCTACTTATTAGTCTAGTCCAACTGTTACTGTTAGTAGGGAGGCCAATGCCCAAATCTAACTTTTTAATTACTAATTTGTTTATACTAAAACTAAGATTAAAAGAAAGCATTTACTTTCACTAAGAAAATCCACCCATCTGCCGACTCCATAGGTTCCATCAAATAGGAGATATCCAGCTGGTTTGTAGCCATTTCCTTCTACGCCTTTCCGTACGTAAGAGCCTTGAAACAATTATATTTCATGTCGCAAAGTTACGTTCGTAATTAGACAGGCCCGAGGGACAAAGTTCATGATGAAGTTTAAAACTTCGCGCGAAAGTGCAATGTGTGTGTGTGTGTGTGTATTTGGGTTTTTACAGACGTGTATCAATCAGATATGATTATTTACGTCTGGGGACCGACTTTTAACGTCACCATCCGAAAGACGTGACTCAGTTTCGAACCTGCGTTCTCGGCTGAATCAGTTTGTAACTTCCACTGATAGCTGGATTACAGGCGCACGCCACAACGCCTAGTTATCACTCAACAGCGGCTAGCCTTGAATCGGTCGCACACGTACACACCTTCTTCTTCTTAGTTGATCCCTCCACCGACACAGGCAAGCCCCGATGCAGGCTGAAGTCCAGCCATCAATGTGCGAACGATTACATCTTCTACTACTACGAGCCGAAGACGATGGTTCAAAAAAGGAAAGAAATATATATAATTCATTGATATTTACCTTAGATGTGTATTCCAATAATTTGATTTCCTCATGAGTATTCCTTATTATCAACGATCGAGAAGTTACGAGGTCCAATTAAAATCCATCTTGCAGCGAACACAATCATAGCGCACATCCATGCATGCAACGTACGTGTACTAATATTTCTCTCACTCTCTCTCTCTCTCTCTCTCCCTTTCGCTATACGTAACATACACACTCACTAACCATGTATCATATACAACACACACCTTCAAATCATGGCTTTCATTTCAATTCTCAATTGGAGTATAGACTGCTCACGTAGACTTTTTTTTTTACTGAAATATCTTTTTTAACACTTCTCATACATTACTGCACGACACTCGTATCTAGTGCTGTGAGAATAAGGTACTAGGGTCTATAAATAAGACTACGCTTTGGGCACGCTCTGACCGGAGCTCAGATTATGTCGCAATACCCTTTATTTTTGGCGCGAACAATGACGTCACTGTTCACTGTTTTCCTTCTCATTTTGAGATGGATGTAGCTATAGGGCTCAAACCAACGCAAGATTGACAGAAACATCGTACTCTATCTACTTTCGAATGTTCAGTTTGTAAAAATCTGTATTTAAAAAGATATTATCTTTTTTCTTTATATTTTCTAGTTGTTAGAAGTGGCAATTGTGAACATCTGAAATGTTGATCTCTATCAAAAGTTCTTTACTCAAAACGGATCCCATATTTTTAGGGTCTACCTTCTGCCAATGAGAAGGTTTTTAGTGAGCAAACCTCTACGCCCTCTAGGATTTTCTTAGTCGGTGGTGCGAGTGCGTCAAGGTCGTCTGCAACCACAATTATTGGATTAAAAAACGTCAAAATCTGCAAGATTGTCAACAAATGGTGAAAGACTGTTACAGATCCGTGATTATAGGTATGTTGTGAAATGTATAATTGTATTTTCTTTTCATATTTTCTTCAATTTTTATTTTTACATCATTTTTTTCCCTTTGCTAATTTTTTGAAGTGGGCGACGAGCGCACAAATCGTAGGTGTAGAAGCCTTACGCCCGGGCATTGGCCTCCCTACTGTTAGGCAATCAGAAATTAAACAACAATAGATCCTCCGAACAGTACACACATTGTAACTTGTGGGACCGCAGAAATTTAATAATATTCTTAGGCTACTCTGGTTTATTCAGGCTTACTCTCATCTTCTGTAATAAACACTCGTAGAAATACGTGGGTATCGTGAACATTTGTTTGTGTTTTGAATTCTAAAACAAAAACTTACTCGTTCCTTCAATATTTTGATACTGGCACTCTTCATTCAGTCCAAAACTGATCCGAAAATAATTTGTTTATTCGGTTGTCAAATATGTTATAATGTTCTAGACTAGAGAGGGCGTGCAATTTCAAGATTTGATTAGATTTGATGGATGTTTCTTTCATGAGGACCTAGTATAATAGGGACGAATTGTCACGGTGACGAGTTATTCCATTATTAACCTGTATGCTTGGAATCTATTCCAAGTACTTTACTTGTTGATATGTTAGGCAAGCTCGGCCAAGATTTTAGGTTTTCAAGAACAACCTTTGTTTAAAAAGTATATACTAAACCGGTCTATATTCCTCCGCCTCCGCCTTCTCCCCCGCTCCCTTATATTTATGAATGTATGTATGTTCTTCATCTATGTAAGTTCATTTATCATTTTCATGTTAATATACCCTTATAAAAAATCATTGTATATTCATATTTTCAATATATGTATGCTTTTATTTATACTATTGTACATCTTGCTCACTGCGATGATTCAGCCACCGGCTGCGACGAAAAGATAACCTACAATTCAACTCTTTCCTATATAGTGCAACTGATTTTGTATCCAATGAGTAGGCCTATGAATATTTATAGCCCATAATAATGACCAGAACTTGATTATCGAGTACCTCTGTCTCCTCTCTCATTTCGTTCTCTCTCTCTCTCTCCCTCTCTCTCTCTCTCTCTCTCTCTCTCTCAATTCATGAAAATAGGGACGATACTCTCTCTCTCTCTCTCTCTCTCTCTCTCTCTCTGTGGTAATGAAACCCTCATGTAAAAAATAGTATACCATCAACCTTCCTATAAAATTGGCAATAAAAGGTCAAAAAACAAATTATTAATTTTGTTTCTTTTAAATGAGCACAGATTAAAAATAAGAGGAAGCTGGCATTACCATTACGCCATGTCACACATGTACATAGATTAATTTTTCATTATTTATGTTAATTGAAATTTGAGAAGATTCCTTTCCAAAACTTTTGATGGAATTATGAGACATGTTTTCAAATGTGTTGTAATTTTCTATAAAAATGTCTGATCTTTGACAATTTTTCACCTGATTTATCTCCAACTTTCATTACACGTTTTCTGATTGTTCAGAATTTTTCCCATAACATACCACTGTACTCAAGCTATAAGGAGGTGGACAGAACGGTAGGCCATGCAGAGACCCTCAAAACCAGGAGGTTGTAGGCTCCAACTCAAGTCACTGGTCTACTGAAAGTCTTGTTCTTCCTCACGCTGTCTTGATATACCTCTTAGTTTGTTCTTGTATTTACCAGCATAACTGCATTGCAGTTTGGTAAACATAAACGACACAAGTATTATGTCAATAAATATTATTGCATTTCCATCGATCATTTCATCATCTGTCACCCATGCATATCAAACATGCATTAATAGTAACATGCAAGTAGACATAAAACTAAGTGCGTTTGAGGCCATATATCATTAAGGAAGGTTGGGACTCCTTGGGATGACTAGTGATGAAGACGGGGCAATTTACATGCGAGCACATTTTTTCTTATGTTACCACTCATAACAGCCATGGGGAAGGGACCCTAAACAACCCCCCCCCAAAAAAAAAGAAGAAGAGGGGGGGGGGGGGGGGGGTGTGGTAGTTGTGGGATGATGCCTCTAAAATGAAAAGAAGTAAACTGACAATTGATACTTGCCTTCCTCTCCCCTACACAAAATGCATGAAATTGAAATCTTAAAGGTATTACAAAGTTTTGGTATGGGGTCATGAATTTGGTTCAAATTAACATATTGGAAGCATATACGTTCCTACAATATACATTGATCGTTGTCGCGGTTGAAATCGAGTCTAAAGTTATGAAATTATAAATAATAAACTCTTTATGTTGTATAGCTTCCTCTCAAGGTCAAGATATTAATTTAACTATGAAACAATGTTTCTTGACTAAAATCGACCGATTAGCTATTCCCGTTTGGAAATTATATATCCCAACTACATATTCCGAGATTTTCATGGTCGCAGCTACCATTGTACGGCCATAGGCGCTATTTGAAATTTATCAAAATTTACCGGGAGCACCGGTAAATTTTTATATTCAATTTTTCACGAAAACAAAAGTGTTTTAGGGGCTATTTTTTTTAGTGCTTATAATACATCCACAGGGGCATCCAAATATATCAAAATTGTAAAGATTCACTATCCACCCAATTTTCAAAATCTCCCAAAACTTTGTATTACTTTTAATCCAAAAGAAAATATGCAAATAATTACATCCATGTTTGTTTTGACACTTGAACATTTTCGTCTTTTTACACAAAAATCCAATTATCATTTAATTGATTGTCAATGCTATCTATTATTGTACAAGTATTTTAGAGGAGGCAAGCAAAATAAAGCATTGAGGAGAGGACAGAGGGGTTGGAGGTGGGGAGGAGGGTGAGGAGAGGGGAGGAGAGGGAAGAGGGAGGATAGAAAGGAGGGAGGCGGTAGTGGTGAGACAAAAAGAGAGATATACAGACATAAAGATAGAGAGAAAAAGAGAGAGAGAGAAAGAGAGTAAGTGGCAGAAGTGAGGGGACAGAGGGAGAGAGAGAGAGAGAGAGAGAGTGAGGGAAGAGGTAGAAGGAAGGGAAGAAGAGGAGGAGATGGAGAGCGCTTTTTTCACACAATTCTTTGTCTATATGTGTGATTTTTCAAACACTTCTCTGACTAACTTTTTCATGACAACCAAGGAGAAGGCAATAGAGGGAGGGGGTGGAGGTTTGGGAAGACAAATGATAGTGAAAAGAAGCTGTTAATGGCAACACAAATATGAAGTGCAATGATAACAAAACAATTGAAATACAATATAACAGATATTTTTTATTCACCTTAAACAGCACCAATTTCTCATGTTGGTATAATCATGAATATCATTATAATATTGCAATGCAAATAAATTTCGTCTGCATCTATGTGCGCATTAGACATACATTGTACCTGTATCATGAATTGTAAAATGCTTTCCTCTATATCTTACTATGTCCCTATATTCAAATCAAAATATAACGAGCCAATGAAAAATGTTGTTTTGGGCTTAAAGACTAAGAGGAGAGTAAATCATGTATATATAATAATAATGAATAAACACTAAAAAATTAGTGTTTATACTTGTAAAATTATATTTCTTCACTTTTACTTTTCCAACATAACTGTGCATATTGAGGTTAACTTAAACAGATTTCTTCTGACTTCTCTCTTAGAGTGGAGGAATTTTTGTCAAAAATATCCTCATTTCAGTTGACAAAACTTAAAAAAAACAAAACATGATTCTTTGACTATTTCTTCTATCTATTTACTATTACATGTAAGTAGCAAGTATAGCTGTTGGGGAACAGAAGTCTATGAATTATTTGTTCATACTTAGGTTCGTTCAGATATGATACAGTAAACTGCTGCAATAAAAGCCTCGGCATTTTTAAAATGTGTAATTGAACAGCAAATGCGCACAACAAAGGACTTACACAGAAATGGGAATTTGCGTCTTCACAAAAAAAAAAATGATGTGGTTTTGTTGTGCCATATCTGAACAGGTCTTTAGTGAACAATCTACTGCAGGTATGGAGGGTGTTTAGAAGCATTGCAATCTAAGTTTTTCCATGGTCTACTGATAAAATCTTTGAAGCAACACCACAACATACCTCATACCTAGTGTATCTTTTCGAAACATGGCAGTAAACATAAAAAGTTGATTCTGGAAACATCAAATATTGCTAATTGATATAAATTATGATTCAATCAATATTCATGAAGGTGGTATAAATAGTGCAATGTTTGCACACTTAATGCTTTTGGTCTCTTCATACCTGCAAATCTATCTTTGAAATCACTTGCAAATTTTAATTTCACATTCAACTCAAACTTGCTAACAGCAGTAAATGCTACTATGTTTACCTAAAATATAGATACACGTACATGTACCAATACACTTTGTGGTAAAGGTATAATTCTGTTCAACTCCTGAGTAATTTCAAGTACCATAAAAAGCATCTCTAACTTTAAAAGCTAAATGCCCTCCGAATTAATCACAATACATGCCATTAACCCTACAGGTTAAATTTATTCATTTCATAACTCCACCAAAAGATCTCTATATTAAATATTAATCTGCTGTTGACTATTGCTAATATGCTAAATGACAAACAATTTTGTTTTAATGAAGGAGGAAATATAAAATAAAAATGAAACACAAAATGAAAGATTCTCTAATATAATCATTTAAATGCTAATATTTGTTGAATTGCATGTACAGATACATGTATATTGCACATATTGAACCATTTCAAGCAGCAAAAATAAAACAAAACTATAAACTATATCAAAATTTGAAAAATTGCAACTAAACTATCAATCTCAAAATAAATTGGGATAAAAAGTCATGTTGCATATTGTCCAGAGAAAAAGGCACTTTGTGGAATTTGATGACTCATACAGCAACGAAAAAAAGGGGGAAAAGTGAACTATAATGATACTGTACATGAGTAAAAGAAATATGATATTCAAACAAAAACACTTTGTTCAACAGCTTTACATCACTTGACAAAGAGTGAATGGAACTACGATTATGATGATTCAATATACAGGTATATCAATTTCTTTTTAGCACATTTCCATTATACATTTGTAAATATGTGTATAAATATTACATGATGGATGGCAGTGCAACTCTATAGGTTTAATGCTTTTGATTAAAACTTAAATCATACATTTGAATAAATGACTTTTATATGTACATGTACATACAAATGGTAGATATAAAGTTGTCTAACATAAGAGTTGCACATGGATAATGCTTGAGCGTAATGGGTGGCTTCAAATAGCTGTACTGTTTATTTATATTACAAACTCTTTACAAATGTACTGTTTGGTCAATTAACAAAATAATAAATGGCTTAGTAATGTACTTTAATTCGATACTGTATACACAATCAAGTCAAGTTGTTTTGTTCACCACAGCCAAAAGCTGACAGATCTAGGCTCTGCTCAAGGAACCTTAGGAATCATGGTCAAGGGTCAAATTAGAGACTGGGCACAGGCTGGCACAAACATGGACATGTAACATTATACTTATCTGACTTGGTCAGTACGTGCAAGTTCATGCGCAGCACACAAGCATAAAATGTAGGTCAATTTCACATTTCTCTTGACTTTTGGACAAACACAACATTTTTGGCAAATAACTTTCTTTAAAAAAATTAAAAATAAATTCACAGGTAGCATAAAGTACCATGAGATTACAATGTATTATATGATTATTATATATATAATCTGTATGTAATTTACAGGTAAGTATACTGGTAATAATTACTACAAAAATGAAAGGGATCATGATACAAACTTTAGCTGAATATGAAACATTTTGAATCTACCAAAACAAATAGAGATCATGAGAGTTTATGAAGTTCCTTCTTATTTAGCAGATAGGTATTCACATCCAGCTTTAATCAGATTGTGCTTAAAAGATAGTTACTGGTAGATCCCTGATTTGAATAAATCCTAGCTTTCACTACTCCAAATAACACAGTCCACCTCTACCTTTAAGACATTCACTGCAAGTTTGCCCTGCTGCCTGCTCTATGCGTTCCTTCCACGCACATGTAGGATAGCTCAGTTTCACATGGTCAGTATTCAAGACACTGATGAAGGAAGGGTCACACCGATTCTACAAGGAGATGTCTTCTTGATTCGTAAGTTTAGGTTTTGTCTGACCATTCCTCCTTGGTAACAGCATGATTGGTACATTTGTAATACACTTGTATCAACTCTTGCTATTAAAATAAAAAAAGCTGTTTCATTTTTAACCAAGTGGCATTTGCTGTAGGTTTAAGTAAGGGATAAGGAGGAAGTGCCTGTGGGTTCAACAATGAATGGGTTAAGCTGGCGTTAAGATGGTGCATTCAATCATTTTCTCATTTAGGCCATGCAGCTCATAATTCTAATCTCTTCAGAAGACAGCACAGACTGTAACTAACCCTTGACCTTTGAAGGACAAAACTTTGTCATCACCCATTGTCACATACATTTATCTAAACACAGAACTAACATGCTTTTGGTTGATCTACAACAATTACACAGTGATCATATGAAGGCTTGGGGTGGTGAATGGTGGAGCAGTAGCAACAAGTGTCGCTGGTAGACGACATTTGTTAGGCATATGAACTATATGGCTTTTGGAGCTTGGGTTGGATTCATGCAGACTCGACAAGATACCGGGGATGTGGTGGTGGTGAGGCTGAAGATATTTGGAGGATGTTTCTACTTACTTCATCTCAGCTTTCATCTCTCTGGGTGTTTGATCAGACCTTGTACCAGGGTGGGGACCCAGGTTACCTTCATCATCAGTAGAATCCTCCAGAGAGCTGACGTCTGGAGAGCTGGTGCTGGAAGAACTCTGGTAGAAATGGCCTTCGCTGCTGAGGATACCGCCTCCACTTGGACTGCGCCTCAGGATCTCTACGGAAGATCTCCTTCTCATGTTGACTCCACCCGCTGATTCAGTTGTGAGGCTATGATTTGAAGCTACCTCAGAGTGTGGATCAGAGAGCAGAGTATCATCATTGATTCCAAGCAAGTTGCTCCCTGAATCCACATGCAGTTTGCCAACAGCATCTGCAGTGTCTACATAGCCTGGTGCACCTTGGTTGGTAGCTTCGGGAATATCATCAGATCTCCTGGCAGTTTTGTTCCTCTCAGAGCCCAAATCAGTCATTTCATATTCAGTGACATCATTCATCATTTTAGGGTCGCTACTGCTTCTCTTCTTACGAGTTTGCTTTTTTGAAGCCTTTCCTTCCTCTTTATCTACTGATTTGACCTTTGATTTAGGTTTCTTTTTGATAGGAAGTGCAATCTTTCCTTTGAGTAACTGGCTGATGTTTGGGGAATTCCTCCGCTTTTCGTCACTCACTACAGGCAGCTGCCTACGCTTCTTTTTGGTATCCTTAACCTCTGTAGTCATTACTTTGCCATTGGTGGCTTCATGGTCATCCATGAACTCGCTTCCCACTTCACTTGGCGGTCTCTCCAATAAAGGATGATTGTCATTTGCATTGAGTGCTGCAGCTGTTACAACCGAGTCAACAAGATTGTCAGAAGAACCTGACTTCTCGATAACAATAGCAGGTATATTCCTAACACTGATGGGTCTTGACAGGTCTACTGGTGAAACATCCTCTCCTGGAAGGTGATCATCCTTCTCACGTCCGCTTGGTTTACTCTTATCTCTTCTGCTGATGGAAGAGACTCTCTTCCTTCTTCCAGAATGGCGATGTCTCCCAGACAATGCAGAATCCTTCTTTGCTGTACGCTTTCCTGAAAAGGAGAACTGCACCTTACCATGAATAGCTTCATCCCTTGGGGATGGATGCACATGATCTCTTTCTTCAACTTGTAATGTATCGGAAGCATACACCTGTAGCAGGAGCCACACACTTATTAGGATCAGCTGCTGGGGCAGTTTCACCTGCATGACTACCTTGGACTCTTCTGCAGAGTTGTCCACTTTCTGGAATCCCTTAGAAGGTTGCCTTCCTGACCATTTACTCAACCAGTCCACAAGCTTTCCAAGATGCTGGAATTCATTACCAAAGTTTAATCTAATTGGCTTAAATCCGTCAGTAGCAGTGATGCCTGTAAAGCAGGTGTCCTCTTTCTTTCTCTTCAGTTGGACAGTGTTCCTGCTCTTTGAAGATGGTCTTTCCCTCCGTCCTCTAGGACTATCACTTACAGATCCAGTCAAACTTATTTGACTGTTACTACGCTGAAGAGGTAACCGGGGTATATTCATGACCACCTCCTTTTCAAGAGGCCCACCAAATAACTTCTTAAACAGTCCTGGGCCATGAATTTTGGAAGGGACTGATTTAATTTCATCCTGCTCTATGGTAACATCAAGACCCTTTCCAAACTGCAGATCACTAGGTTTTACCACTGGCAAACTGGATTTCTGCGGGGCTCTACCAGCATTCTTCTTGATTTCTGAATCAAGGACCTGCTTATGGAAAGACCTAATCAAGGGAAGTTCTGTCTGGGACATGAATGCATCTTCTTGGACTTGTTTTCCAAATGTCACCAGAAAGAAGGTCTCCAGAAAGTGAAGGTAAGCTGAGTTACCTTCAAATTCCCTGGAACCCACTTGAAACAACCTTGCTTCTTCGGAATTAAGACGATTTCCATCATCCTTCTGAGGAGTGGCAGCACTACTTCCCGCTGTTGAGTCAAATACAGAATCGTCTTCTCCTTTAGATGCAATCCGGCTTCTTGGTTCTGTAGCATCATCAAGCTCAAAGACACTGTCGTCCAAACTTCTGAAGGAAGATTTGCGGTTGTTCCGCTCAAGCATCCTCTTCTTGCTCTGCCTCTTGTAGTGAGCCATCAATGTCTCAAAGACCACAGGTGTTGTTCCACCATCTGGGACCTCATTCCCTTCTTTCTTTTTGTTCCGCCTCTGATCCACAGGGACCTTCTTGCGCCTCAGCTTCTCCCTAAGGCGACCAAATTTGTCCTCCAGGAACAGTGGAAGGTCACGGATGTCATAGAAATGCCTTCCTAGAATTGAAACTGTCTCTTTCGTGAGAGGAAGCTCTGCGATGGCTGTGAGGAGGATGTCATTAACTTCATTCTCCAGCTGAAGAAATCTTGAGAAAGGGTAAAGGCACTCAGCCCAGTCTAGAACAGGTTTGAGCAATTTCTCTGTCTTCTCATGTTCCTTGGGATCAGCAGTTTGCTATATACAAAATGAAGGATAATATAAAACAAAATAACATCTTAAGCTAAAAGCTTTGACACATTAGGCAAGCATACATTATAGTGTTAGTTAAGGGCTGAAAAAAAAAAAAAAATTCATTGCAGTGCTAGCACATATTCATCTATAAAAATTCAAATTGTGCATTTAAAGAATATATCTTAAAAACCTTAATGGAGAAAGTTATGACAATAACTTTACAATTAATAAATTATAGAAGTTAATGATAATCCAGTAAAAGAATCTTAAAAGTACAAACTACAATCATATAACAATGTGCTCATTGCCAAAAGTTTCCTTGGAAAACAGGGGGGGGGGGGGGATCAGGGTGGTCCATGAGGGGTTTTAACATCTAAAAGTGACATGTCTGAATTTGACACGAGGGGTTAAGATTTTGTAGCAAGTTACAGAACAGAAGCAAAATTCTTGATCATCCTCTACCAAAATTATTTAAGAAACATAGGTCATGAAATTAGAAATCACTCAAAATATGATGCCAACTGCAGAGCTTCCAGTGCAAGCTCTAGGGCTCTGGTCCCCAGCTTCAAGGAACTTGATGCTCACCGTGTGAGCTTCGAGAAAATCAGATCACATGCCTTCCAAGTAGCAATATTACACGTTTGAATTCATGTTTATGAAAAAAAATTATGGAGCTTACCTGAACATGTGTTGACCTCTCCTTGCTGGTCTGGTACTTGCGAACAGCCAGAGACAGCTTGTCCCTCACATACAACATCCAGAGGAGACAACAGAGATCTCTGAAGCACTTCAGGACTGACCCCTTCGCGTTGCTGTCCAGGTTATTGTTAGGGTCATCCAAACCGGACAGAATGTCCACTGGGTATGACAGGTGGGCCTGGAGCTGTGCTGGCAGTTCAACTGATGATTCCTTTGTCTGAAAACAGTGTTTAGTCAGAAGATAAATACTTAAAAAGCTTTTAAAAAGTTACATTTTATGTGTTTAATTCTAATCTAAGCCATCTCTTCAGCTACTCTCGTAGTTATATTTTCTTGAAGTTTTTCTTTCCACAAAGTGAAATTATGTTCAAGATGTCTGTTTTTAAGGAGTTTCTCCCCCTATTAAAAAGGTTTTCAATCATGACTATGAAGAACTGTTTCTTTATATTTAAAAAAAAGTGGTAATTATAGTCTGTGCCTACCATAGAAGCCTGGCCAAGAATTCCATTTCTAGTACTGTACATGTACTTAATTTTTTGATGTAAATTTCTTCAGTTTCATTGAACATCTATTTCATATAATAAATTAATCATATTTCTACAGCACCCCAAGCCACACACTGGCCATTGAACAAGTGTGTTCCATGGCAGTTTCATGGAACATCTATTTCAAATAATAAATTAATCCTATTTCTACAGCACCCCAAGCTACACACTGGCCATTGAACAATTGTGTTCCACGGCTGGGGGTGCTGTAGAAATAGGGTTAAGTACTCTCTTTAAAAATCACAGATGAATGGCACTCCAAAGTAAATCAACTTACCTTCCAAGCCTTCTCCTTCACCTGTACTTCTCTGAGCTGTTCCACATACCATCTGGCACACGGCATGCTGCAGTGAGAGGCGTTGAGGACCAGCAGGATCAGCTGCACCAGGTCATTGATCTCTCGTCTCCTGTCATCTTCTTCAAGGACCTCTGGAGGGTCATAGTCCTAGCAGAAAGAAAGGAACAAACAGAAATATGAAAGGACAAGACTGCTCTGAAACTGTAATTTAATGGACATTGAGGACCAGCAGGATCAGCTGCACCAGGTCGTTGACCTCTCGTCTCCTGTCATCTTCTTCAAAGACCTCTGGAGGATCGTAGTCCTGGCAGAAAGAAAGGAACAATCAGATATATATAAGGACAAGACTGCTCTGAAACTGTAATTTAATGGACATTGAGGACCAGCAGGATCAGTTACACCAGGTCGTTGACCTCTCGTCTCCTGTCATCTTCTTCAAGGACCTCTGGAGGATCATAGTCCTAGCAGAAAGAAAGGAACAATCAGATATATAAAAGGACAAGACTGCTCTGAAACTGTAATTTAATGGACATTGGAGCTCTTTCAGACTTGGCTTAAAGAGGATGTAGCATGGAAAATACTGGTTGACGCCATCTACGTCTTCTTTTGGACAACTGCACGTAAACGAATGGACTTGAGTAACTGGGTCAGCGCGTGCTAGCATTCGCGAAACAGACCAAAGTTCTCCTCACGCTTCAGTTTCATGTATGTTTCACGCACGTGAATGATACTTAAATAAATATACCAGCCAGCGGCAGCTAACTGCACTTGTGCGTCCTTGCTGCATTTTTTAAATTAGCTCAGCCGGCTACCGCTGGCGGTAGGCAATGGCATTCAAAAGCATGCGCCGGCTGCCGCCTTTCGAATGGAAACCGAGCCTCAGATCCCAGCCTGGCGCAAGCCGGCTGGGCTAATAAGTGAAAAATAATTGCCCCAGCCAGGCTTCGGCCGTAATTGCAGCCTCGATGCGCCAATACGTGAGGCGGCAGCCTGCTGGTATCGATATTTTTGACGCCTCGCCTTAGGTCTACTGCAGTTGCGTTGTCCGAAGTTGTATTATACCCGATTTTCCTGAGTGGGCCTCTGGAAAGATGCATAGTCTCGTCATGGTACAGCCTCTTTAAGAAGACTCAAGTTTTTTAGCCCATGGGAATCTTTTAGAATTGAAAATTACATCACCTCCAACATTTTCAAGAGACGATTTACTACAAATCTACTCACCAGATACATGTGTCCACATAAAGGAGGTACAAGATACACACAAACAGTGTGTTAAAAGAAAGAAAGAAACAAATCCTTCTGAAAAGGAGGATAATTGCATGAATCTTTACAAAAGAAGAAAAAGGAAAAGGATGTTCTGTGCTGTAGGAACAGAGATTCAAGAGCGATTACAGGAAGAAAACTATGATGTAAGTGATGATGAAAAAGAAAATTGATAAAATTTACAGAAAAACAGTTGACATTGTGGATAGGCATCAAGAATATGAGATAAAGAAGCATGACGTTCCAACTTACATTTGGAATGTACTCTGGTTGTGGGCAGTAGTACGGTGGGGCTGGAAGGTAGAATTCTTCAGGCACCAAGGATGTAAAGCCCTTAGCTAGAATGAGGCATTCCTCCATCATACTCTCCAGGAGCCAATGGGTCGGGTCCTGCCTGCTCAAGGTGGCTGCTGTCAGGATGTCCGTCAACGTCTGGCTCACCATCACCTGGGCAAGCTTGTCCTCTTCTACTAAAGAGCCTGGAAATATATGTAATAACAATATTATTATTAGTTTTGATACTGTGAGGTAGAGGGTATGGCAGTTAATGGAGGAGTGAGTTCTAGTTCTGTTTTTTTATAACTATTGTACTTTTAATGTGTAATATTTGTATTTGTATATATGGGATTGTGCAATATCATCTTTTTCATGGTTACCTATGAAGGCTTGCATGCCTCCGGGCAACAGTGAAGCATTTCACTTTTGCGAACCCTGGCCCATAGGTAACCACTTCTCTCCTCTTCTCCTTGCTTTTCATTTCCTTCTCTTAATCTATTATTTATAAGATAATTGTATCTATTATGTTGACTTTGTATTTACTGTGAATTTTTAACATAAGAAAAATGGGATCATGGGGGACCAATGGTCACCACTAAGGCATTATTTGCTATACAGAGGGCGCAAGTAGCTATAAGTAGTGCAGTGGGGCTTTGAGTCCGGTGTTCACTTACACACTGATGAGCTCTTTCTGATGGGCATCGCAGGAGAATCTAGGAGGGATCCGTAAGACCCTCGTCTCTGCTGGCTGCCCGAGAAGGAGCCTGCTCTCTGGACCTTCTTCCCTGGTTTAGGGGATGCCTGAGGGTCTAGGATGGGTGTCTGGAGCACCGAGTTGAGACCCTCCCTCAGGAGATTGGTGGGTGAGAGGTTCGGTGGGAGGACAAGAAATTCATCAAGGATGCTAAAAGAGGAGTGAATTTGAAAGATAGTTGGTAGTTCCATCTATCAGCGTAGAGTACTGATGTTCCACAGACCCCAGTAACCCCAATATTTACTTTTAAGTGGCTGGTTCATTTTTCCATTTTTCTAGGTGATGAATGTATGAGAATTGCATTTAGAAGAACCAAGGAAAGAATCTCCTCACTAAAGAATTCGGCCAACCATTTATCTCTGACTTTCTGTCGAGGTCTTTTGTTCACTGATTCCTAGGGACATGTATAACTGGGACTATAATTTCAATGGGAAAAGCAATAACAGTATGTGTGACGCCAAAAATCATGTACATCATTTGGTGACAAAGGAACACAAATATTTTCAGTACCTTGAATCTTTGGTCCTGAGTCGGCTCTGAATTTGCGAGGAATAGACTGCGGACAAGGCAAAAGCACTCTTCCAGTCGCCCAGTTCATGGGCTAGCCAAACAGCCTCTGGTACTAGCCCTGACACCAGTAACAGGTTCAGGGTCATGTTGACAGTCCACTTGTCCGAGAGGTCCTGCTGTCGGACGTTGGTGGTGACCGCCTCATGGGTTATCTGGATCTGTCTTTCAGCAATTTCTATGTAACAAAAACAAGAGATATGCTTTAATAACAGAAACATAATATTTTTAATGTCTAGGAATACTGTCTCACATTTAGCCTAAGAACATCAAAATGGCTCTTAAAATGGACATTTGAATGGGTTTAATGGTTTTCTTGTTGTTTTTACCTTTGCATATTTTCAAGTTTATTGAAGGAATATCTGTTTTTTTCTTCAATACTACAGTCAATCCTCTAATTTGTGGCTGTTCTGTAGCCATCCACAAGGTTAGCTACATGTATATGCACACCCATGTGAACCAAACAAGCAGGCTGATTATAAAGATACAAAGAACAACAAAAAAGAAACAATGTTTAAGAAAAATATTGACTACTTTAAAAACTAGATGGAACTTTGACTGCGCGCAGTCAAAAATGATGCCTCCGCCATAGAGCAATTTTACAAACCAAAACAGAAACAAGTTTTTAAATTCCAGTTTGATTGTAATCCATCTGTCAGTTTTAATGATAATGCATGTACAAACAATTTATAGGCATACATAATGAGCTATGCGACCTTTGACCTTCAACCTGGTGACCCCAAAATCTAATTAGATCATTGGCTCTGCAAGATACATACATGACTTGAGTTTGATAGTAATCTGTCCATTGGTTCTCATGATAATGCGATCAAAAGCTATTTTTGGATACATAAAGAGCCCTGAGACCTTTGAACTTTGACCTGGAGACCCCAAAATTAATTTTTTTTATTGGCTCTGCAAGATACATACATGACTTAAGTTTGGCAGTAATCCATCAATCGGTTTTTGAGATAACGCGATCACGAGCCATTTTCGCATACATAATGAGCCCTGTGACCTTTGACCTTGGATCTTGTGACCCCAAAATCTAATCAGTTCATTGGCTCTGTGAGATACATACATGACCCAAGTTTGGCGGGAATCAATTCATCGGCTCTTGAGATAATGCGATCACTAGAACGGGACGTATGGACAGACTTACATGTACGTACACGGACAACCCGAAAACATAATGCCTCCGGCTACTTTGTAGCGGAGGCATAAAAACAATATACAGGTGTATTTAGATATAAATCAATATTGATGTTAAAAAAAATTATACTATTATGAATAGGCAACATCATTTTTTCAACAGGTCTCACTGAGGAAAAATTTGGATTGAAATAATGTTGCTTACAACATTGCTGGAATAACAGACACAGATTGGCAATGTGACAGAAAATAAATTAAGTAAAAACATCATGCCTGAAACACATGCAAATGTTAACAGCTCAAGGTAAATTCAACTAAAATATTCATAGGTTTCATTGCTACATGTACATCAAATCCAACTGACTTCTGAGAAAGAAAGACAGATGGCACCATAAAATATTTCCACTTCTGTTCCTAATCAACATTCATTTATCCCAAATTAAGCAGGAGTCAGCTGATCTCGGTGAAAATTAGTTAGACAATGGGGGCAGAGATGACATGTACCTATGTGAAATCTAATTTTCCTCAGTGCTAGTTTATAGATGAATCTAACCCTGCTCCTCCCCCCCCCCCCCTCCACAATAGTGGCTGATGTTCAAGTTTTTCAGGAGAGGTCTCTTCAGAAAACAATCTATATTCACCCTCTGAAACAGCTTATATTATTACTGAAATATGACCAAGTTCATCCTATATCAACCTAACAACCCTCACAATCTCTTATCTAGTATCAATAAATGTTGAGCATGTGTATATTCAAAATACTGCCACAAATTGTTTCGGTTTCACAAAGTTGCAAGCATCTGTTACTACAATACATGTACATGTTGCAGTTGAAAACAAAAGTGGCAACTCCATTTTGTATCTCCTTAAAAACTTCAGTGCCCTTTAAAGAGAAGGTTGAGTTCTGGGAAGAGGTAAAAAATAATTTGTGAGCATTACTCATTCTTATTATACAAGCGTGGAAGAACATCAGTTAAGACATGTTCCCTGAAAAGCATGGCTCTTCAAATGCCTTCCTATTCTAAATATGCATGTAACATCGTAAAAATCGGGGGGGGGGGGGGGGGCCGGTTTTTTACGCCACGTGTTTGTGTAGTCCCATATACATCTTTCTGTGCAAGTGTTTTTTCTTTCTCAATGCAATCGCATGACCATAACTCAACTTTATCTTTAACATCCACATGGCATCCAACATGAAATGAAGATGATGATGATGATGATAATAATGATAATAAACATGCTTACAGAAAGTTCATGTGTAATAATGCCAGATAAACCTCCTTTTAAAAAGACATATTAACTAATACACAAAGAAGCATAATCTTTGGCTCTTTAGGTTAAAAAGAAATGATCAAATTTTCCATGAAATCCTACATTCAGCACATTTTAGTGAGGTGTGGCCTTTACCTGCCTGAGCTGTATGAATATTAAAACATGGACCAATATCTTAATAATCTTACCCAGAAATGCGTCATCCTGTTCTAGTTTCATAATCTGATTGATAACAGGATCTAGAATAAATAATGGCATGGAGCTCCATGGTAATGGCTTGCCATATTTATGATCAACATTAATCATATCCTATGTTCTGAATTCCGATCGAAACTGGAAATAACAAAATTTGTTCCTTTCAACAATTTTGTACTTGTATGAATAACAAGACAGCATAGATTCTGACCTTGATTAGGAAATTGAATACTGAAAAAATTAATCAATACATGAGCTGGCAATCATTTTATTACAATTTGATTTGATTATGAATGACTTGCAAGCCAAGTTATCTGTATCAACATAATCAACATTCAATGACAAAAATCATTTACTGCAAAACATGTGACAGCATTCATTCTCTCATCTGTCATGATGATCAAGAGGAGAATGAATACGGTTCAATATACCTCACTAAATCTACAATCTTCAGTTTCCATGGCAACAAAGTTTCGTCATAAACCGAGCATGGGATTAAATCCCAACAGGTGGCGGCTTGCTGTTGTCTGCGGCGCAAACAAACAACTCATGAATGCCTGTTTTTTGCTCTGTATTGAACTCTTGTGAAAGTCATCAGTTTAGACCTGGTAAGATGCAACTTTTCTGCCCAAAATTTGTTTTTCAACAAAACTTTTTGACACCTGTCTGATATGAGAATTGGGGTGTGAAGACTCGACTTGTTTTTTGCCCTTGTCTAGGGTACAGGGTTGACATGCTTTTGCTCATGTGTGTCAGGAGAATCACAAAAGGATTTGTATGACACATGGGTGTGTTTCACAAAGATCCTGAGTTAAACTTAACTCTAAGTTGGACTTTAAATTTATGGAGAGCCATTTGTAGCCTTAAAATAAAAATACATTAAAAAGCGAAAAATCAAATATTTTAGACTTTTTATAAATTTCATATCAAGAACATGAAATCTCCTTGATAATAGAAAATATGAATGATTTGAATCAACATTTTATGCCTTTTAAAATAACTTTTACAAAATATTTTCATAGAAACACAAACTCTTGCAATCCAAGTCCTAAGGCTAACCCTGCATCTTTAAAAAGAAAAATAAAGCCCCAACAAACTGTTGCTTGATCACATTTCTGATCAGCTGATCAGCATATGTAATCATGAATGTTCTGATCCTTGGAATTACATGCATCTGTAGAGAAAAAACCTTGATCCTTCTGAAAAATACATTTGCAGCAGGTTACAATATAATCATTTGGATTACTGACATGCACACTGTAGTCACGACATGTACCTGTAATACATCTTTTATCCAATCCTTTGAGCATACACATGTATGATTCACATAGCTCAGATTATTAGGTGTAAATCTCCTTTGATACAAACAAACCTCTTGTCATAACCAGAAATCAAGACTACCTGGAGTGAGATTGGGAGACAGGTGTATCAACTTTCGGTGCCTGGGTAATCCTTAAAAATGTCTTCTTCAGACAGAGTGCACAGAGTTCACCAGTACTTCTTGAATAATCACTTCTTTCTTTCTTTCTTTCTTTCTTTCTTTTATTTCTTTCCTTCTTTCTTTCTTTCTTTCTTTCTTTCTTTCTTTCTTTCTTTCTTTCTTTCTTTCTTTCTTTCTTTCTTTCTTTCTTTCTCTTGCTCTCTATTTCTCCTTTATTTCCAAAAAAGTTTTCTCCGTCTCTCTCACAATCACATTTACACGCACTCCTTCTATTCCCTATCTTTGTCTCTCTCTCCATAATGAAAATTGATAGTCATGAGATTTAGGGCGATGTTTCAAAGAACTTGTTATTAAAGAGAAGGTTGAGTTCTGGGGAGAGGTGAACAATAATTTGTTCCCTTGAAAGCATGGCTCTTCAAATGCCTTCATATTCTAAATATGACAAGTATCAGCTTGGAAGTGAGGTCCGATTTTTATGCCATATGTTTTTGTAGTCTCGTATACATCTTGTGTACAGTGCTTGTTACTTTACCAAGACTGGGCCAATCTTTATTTTATTTTGATGATTCCAGAACCTTGCAGTACACACCAATACATATATGCTACATGATCAACTTTTTTCTGATCAATTCCACATCGTTTCTTTCACAATGCAATTGCATGACCAGAACTCAACTTTATCTTTAATAACAAATGCTAAATTTCGGTGACAAAATTTGCTCTGAGCCAATCAAATGCCATGATTTCCGTAGCTTATAACAGATATTTTATAACAATTATTAATTTGTTCTTGATGAAAAGTTTTATGAAAAAGGGCCCTGGTCTGATGATCACACACTTACTTGTAGGGCGGTTTCTTACACGAATTTCCCAAACAGACAGTTCTCATAACACCATCATCTACTGGTAATTAAAGAATAGAATAAAAGAAACAAAAGAATAGAATACAAACCTGTCTTAGACTGGACATGAAGCGGAGGAAGGGGACTCGCCGAGCATGGCGGGAAGACATAGAGTGGCCGATTGGTGAAGTAGAGGGCCATAAAGCGAGCCAGGCTTTGTACTGCCCTCTGTTGGCAAGAGTTGGCTAGGTAAGGCACATAAATTGGAGTTGAAGTTGGCGATGCAGGGGGCAGTTTCTGTGTGGATAGAACAAAGATTTTCAAAATACAGAGGTAAATGTTTAGAGGTACAAAAATGGGCTTCAGAAAAAAAAACCTCAAGGTTTTTAAGGACCGACTGAAGAAATCTGGAATCGATATTTTATTTTTATTTATTAAAGACACCATTTGGGTGCTTAGCTGATACAGGTTTGTCAATCACCAGGATTAGTCGATTCTGTTTTATGACCAACAGGCATTATGTAATGCTCTGCATTTTCCAGCAATCGCCCCTTATGGAAAAGTCAATATCTTATATTTTCCTCACCCAAAGACTCTTCAAGAGATTGGGGGATAATTCTTGATGCGTCTAATTTGCGTCTTCATCAGCCCGCAGTTTCAATTAGCAGGCTATACATGATCGAGAAAATAACCCGGGAAGTCTTAGTCTTGTTTCCAAAATTGCCTGCTATTTGGGAAATAGCGGGCTAATTTGCGCTTGTCTGAGCTAGTTTGTGATGAGCTTATTGGTCTGGTGAAGAGTGAAGACGCAATTTCAAGCTTCTGGAAAATATCAGAGTCTGAAAGTAGCGGGTTATTTTGCAACTTAGGTTATATGAAGACAGGCCTATTCTGAAATGTTAATTGAAAGCTGATATCAAATTGGAATATTTTCATACAGTAACACTAAAAAATTAATACATGTTATTGTTAATACCTTCATTATCAAAATCCTAATTATTTCAGATAATAATTGATTTGAAAGCAGCATCAACTGATATGTAGCACATGAACAGAGTATGTGCCACACTTATTTAATTATAGAATCAATTTACCTGTTTCGATCTCTTTTCAATAATCACCAATTTATTTATTTTTTGCATCAAGATATTAATAGACCTATTTGTGAAATCCAATACTAGAAATTAAGTTGGTAGTTCTAAAAAGGTAAGTTTCATGTCATATGATATAGCAAATTCTTTGTACTTTTATTGTTATAAATATAATCCACCAGCTTGCCGATACTATTTATTAATATAATCACAGTCCAAAGCAATAATTGACAGAGCTTGACTACTATGGTGCTATTCAATACATAGGGGATTATATTTTAATCCCCAGATTAACTAATCAACCCTCCCACACCCTCGGATTGATCCAAAGTAATTCTCTGTACGCGTGCTTCGAATGAGGTACGTGTTATATTCTCTGCGACAATCTGGTGAATGAAATGACATTCAAATGACCAGAATTTCTTGATTTAATCAAATTTGCTTTCTTTAATTTCACCATTTCTAAATCCTTTTTCATAGAATGAACCTTTAAATTTCCATATGAAATGCTTGCTAATATTCATTAATCATAAAAACTGATCATAATTTGCTTGTTTCAATAGAGTGGCCCACATTTATCTAGAATATTAGGTTAAATGGTTTAATAAGTGAAATATTCATTAGTTCATAAAACTCTCTTATTTTTCCACATTTTTAGCAAATTGTTTTAAAGGAAGCCCTGATACTGTCTCTGTATATCTGATGTCAAATAACTATTAAAAGAGCAGCTGTATGATTTACGATCAAAAGAACATTATGTTCTACGATCGAAACAACATTATGTTCTGTGCTTGAAATTTATTGACACACACTCCAGTCCATTGACTAAAACAAATTTAGTTTGATTTTGTTATAATACTCACAAATTAATAACCTGTGGTTAATAACATATTCATCACTAATCTCCTGCTTTATACATGTGCATGTACAATATCAAACATGAGTGCTTTTTTCAAAGTTTCAATTAAGCAGATATTAAAAATAAGGATAAGGTTTCTTTCTTGTACAACTCACTTGAACAGAAGTAATTAATTATCTTGGCTTCTTCAGAAGTCCATGTGTCTATCCTTTCTTTGAATTCAATTCATTTTTTAAATAAAACATTTGTAAGGAGTAACGTAGTAACAAGTAATCTGTATCTAATACACTGACACATGATACGCGCACAGTTTTAGGAGCGGCTACTATTCAAGAGTTATGGCATGCGTTCAAAGTAGTGTGCATTACAACTCTTATCAGGTATCATTAAATATAGTAGAGTGACCTACAGGAAAGGCTAAATTCATTGGTATATATATATATATATATATATATATATATATATATATATATATATATATATACCTGAAACAGCAGTCCTTGGTAATCTGTGCTCTTCCACGCTAACACCCTTCCTTTCTAAGATTTCATGCTATCTCAATTACTTAGTGCATTGCCACCACGATATATAAACTGAAATTCTATTTTCAGAATAGGCAAATCGCCATTCGCCAAAACGTGCTTTCCTCTCGTTCTCATGTCTCTATATATACTCAGTGTTTCGAATTTGAGCTTCAAAATCAAATATTACTTCTACAAACAACAAGATATTGCAGTTTAAATAAACTTGCAGTAACGACTTGATTTGATTACTTGACACACTTGTATACAAGCTCGCATAGAGTTTGTCCCACATAGAACCCAAGTATGACTTGGGTGTTGTATGTAGGGTCCCATGTTATCCTTTATTATCTTCATATTCCCTATACCATTCACATACAGAATGCCAGGGAAAAAAATGACATTGAATTTTTATAAATACTAGCTATACATATTCTAAGTGACCTCCACTTTCCAATGCATTTAAAATCCATTGACAAAATATTTGTAGAAAACAAAAATATGATTTTCAACCTCTGGTCACAAATTTCCACTGCCTATTTCACATGTGTCACACATTTTCTATCACAGAAAAAAAAAGATAAAAGACGATCTAGTTTGTCTGTTTTACATATCGTGTAGGTAGGTAATCACTTATATTATTTGGTCGTTGTCGACAACAGAAAACAAGTATTTAGTAAAATTATTCCTATCATCACTTGCAGTGTTTTGTAAAAAATAAAAAAAATAGATGAAAAGGATAATCTCATGAAAAGGTCGACAAACTGGTATGTGTTGCCTTCAACCCTATATAAAAACAAGATCAATCCTTCACAATGAATCACAGTTCTTAATTCATTTTAATATCATAAACTCCTTTTTGGCATAAAAGGAAATAATTATCCCCACAAAAATCACAACCAAGGGCATGTTTTGAATGCAATAATTCTTTAATTACTTTCTAATTCCCGCAGGCTCTTTAACATTTTGTACGCTCATGAAAACTAAAAAATGAGCTGAGGTTTTAGAGTTGGAGCATGGATCAGATTACAGGGTATTAACTTTTCTGTTAATCCCCAAATGAAATGAAAAACTTGTTTACTTGCTTTCGGCCTTATAGATCATGCCAAATTGAACCCTAATATCTTTCTTAATTAACTATAGGCCTGCTGACACGTACTGAATTATGGACCCTCTGATCTGAATCAATCTGCATACGTGTGATTTTACTCAAATGAAAAAATGAAATCACGAATGCATTTGCACATACATGTACAACAGTAATTGGAATGTGCCTGCCGTAAAATTATTTTAAAAGTAGTACTGAAAACAATGATCATTTACGAAATAAATAATTGCTTTTCTTTGAAAGATATTGCATTGCACAAGGGCAAAATAATAAACATGTAGAAGTAAAGGAAAATTAACATTTTTTGTTGAATGAAGGATGGGAGGAAGTTAGAATGGGAGTAACCATGCAATCAATATGTTAAAATGAAGAAGAAGAAAGAGGGAAGGAAAGGTACATATCAATCTACATGAATAGAAACGTACATTGAATGGGCATACGATTTAGAAATAAGTTTTGAATAAAAGAATTTCATATCAAATTGTAGAATGGTCAAGAAGCAAATGGATGGTTAAAATGTTATGGTGTCATGTGACACATGAACATGTGATAAATTGATGTGTCATGTGACTCATGTGTGGTGAGATGATACTCTCTAGCCCAGGACTGTACATAAGTATACCGCTCAGCTCATGATGAACTACTCCTAACAGAATTTTTTTTTTAAATAAATAAAATCATTTCATACTCTCACCCTAAAACATGAAATGTGTCAAGGACCTGTGATAAAAGATCACACTGGAACCATTCCAAAAATGTGTTTGTTTCGGTAGTTAAAAAGTAAACAACATATTGTTGGGCAATATACACTGTATATCCATGGATGATAATCCTTTTACTATTACTTACAAAATAGAAAATTTAAGTCAATATTTATTTTCAGTTACTGACCTAATAGAAAGTGTATTTACAGAGGTGTCAGAAATAATTACATCTAAATCTTCTATTAAAACATATAAGTACATTTAGTTTAAAAAATGTAATTTGATATGAATTTCTCTGCTTAAAACACACTAGATGAATAGATTAAAAAATTATATTTCCTTACAGCACTGATATAACTTTTGTTGGGGTGGAAACCAAGACTGTTAATTTGGGTAAAAAAGGGAAAAAATGTGTGTTACATGTTTAATCCCTAATTAAGATTTCCAATGACATGAATGGCGTGAGATACATTTACCTCAAAAAACCCTAAAAACCAATTTTGTGATGGAAAGGATGAAACAATAAAGGAACTCTAAATTAATATATGGTTGAATGGCCTAAAAGAACAGGAAAAAAAGGAGGGTGAAGCCAGTGAAAGTTCACATCGACCTTGTGACTCACAACATGTTAAGTCATTACAGGTTTGTTTTTCAGGGAATACTTCAAACAGAACATGAGTGAAAAACATCATCTGTTGTATAAACTTTCCCTCCTGTCTCAAAAAGTAATGACATGGCTTCTGGGTAAGGGCGTATTAAAAGTGGGAGTGGGATGAGGGAGAAAGAGAGAGAGAGTTAAATAGAAAAAGATGTGGGAGAGAAAGAACTGCATTAGAGAGAAAAATAGGAGGAAAGTGAGGGGAGGAGAGAAGTGTAAGAGAGGGAAAGAGATAGACATACACATAGACAGACAGAGAGACGAACAAACAAACAAACAGACATAGACAGAAATACAGAATGGAAGAAAGTGGGAAGCTGAGGAGAGGGTGCTATGGATAGGAAGACAAAAAGGGAGGGAGAAAAAAGGATGAGAGAAACAAATGGAGGGGAAAAGAGACGAAGAGAGGAAAAAGGAAACAGGGGGGAGAAATGAGAGAGGGGAAGATAAAGAGAGAGAGAGAGAGACAGAGAGAGAGAGAGAAGAAAGAGAGGAAAACATGTAAATAAGATCGTCAGAGTGAGAAACAGAACAGGAGGGGTAGAGAAAATGTAGGAAGGAAACTCAGACGAGGAGAGAAAGTAAAAAAAAGGGAGAGTGGGAGGGGGAAAGAGCGTGCAAGAGAGAGAAAAACAATAATCCCAATGGAAATTGACTCATGGTGATCAGGTGGTTTATGTAAACGTATTGCCACATTGCCAAGCAACTTCTTTAAACATTTCTAAATGAACATGTGACAAATAAATCATAATCTTGGTAAATATGAAAGGCATACAACATTAATTTCCTTGAATAAATGGATCCTCCTGCATAGACAGCTAATCTACATAGTATACCATGTATGAAATAAGTATACATAAATGACAGAGAAGAAAATTTTTACTGGAAAAGTCAAATTGCTGCAAGGTACAAACCTGCATATCTTTACGTGGTAGATCCGGCAGTCTCCTGCCCGGCCTTCTCTCAGGGGCCATCACACTCCCTACATTCTGGCATGTGATGAGCAAGTCCGCAAGCTCCAGCGCCCTCTGGAGGTCACCTTCCACCAGGTGGGTATAGAGTATTCCAAGCAACGAGGCTTCAATGATCTGATCTCGAAGTGACGTCTCCTCTGCCTCTGCATCACCTGAAGCTGTGGTCTCATCCTGTAGCTTGGTGTCCTCTGGAAGATGGCTGGACGATGTAGAGGGGTGGTGGGTGCCGGTGCCAGATGTTCCTTTTTTACGGGACTGGTGGGGTCGAGGGTCGGCGATGGCCAGGTGCCACAAACGCACTGCTTTGGCTGGAAGATTCTTGATATAGCATTCGCATCCTACATTTCGAATTGATTAGTAAAGATATATAAAGAACATTGAAAATATTATAATAATAATAAGTTTTATAATCAAGTTTCTTTTTCTTTCAGTACATTGGTATCGTGTCTCGTGTTTTACACATGTTTTCTTAATTTCCCAATACTGAACCTAATTGCATTTGTATCATGTAAATCAGTTTATTTACATGATTTCTTCATCTCAAATCACAATCACAAGATTGCTGAACTACCCCCTCTGTAAGTACATGTTTTTGAGGAACAGCAATGAAAGCATACATGGTTGCAACATGCCTCTTTTTTATATTCTGAAATGGAACAAACAAAAATTTGAAAAATGATTTACATCACCATACAATAAATACTATATCTATTCCTCCATGTATATGTATCTGAATTTACATAAAGCAATCTTTGTTGAGTACAAGTTAAAGGTACTATGTCCCATTTGCAGGCCAAAAAAATGAAAAAGTTAAATTCCAACTGCATTTGAAAGATAATACTAATTTAGAACTTCCCTAAAAAAGGTGGGGCTTGAAAATGTCTTCAAGTGGGAAAATAATGACTATTAGTTGTCAAATCGACTTTAGGGCTATAGAGCCCAAAAGTAATAGTCTTGATTTTCAGACAATTGTATCGAATGGTCATACGTTTTATGCTGCGCAAAGATTCAATCAGATTAATCTTGGCCATCACAAGAAGTGGGTTATTGATGTAGACAAATGCTCATGTACGCTTTACAACTCTTTTCATGTATGTTATTACCAAAGAAGAAAAAAGCCAGTCAGTCACTCAATAGTGTCTGACAGTGAAGTCTAGCAAGTAAACGGGTTTCCTTGCATAATTTGAATATGAGGACACTGCTAACGTTTAAATTTCACAGATAGGACATACATGACATATTCATAATTCCTGCAAAGTTCTACAGCATTTGAGGTTGGCTGCAAAAGGGACATAGTACCTTTAAAGGTGTTTTTATCCCTTGTCTTTACACCAAGGTGACAGGGTTGCATTATATTTTCATCTTATTGTGACACTTGACACAGGCATGTAATTTCAAGAATCATCATCTAAAAAGAAGAAAATATAACGAATGTCATCTTCATTTATCTCACAGCTCATCTTAATTGGCATATATTTCAGCGTTGTATTGGCTATCACTACGTTGTTAGATCCCATCATCTTGATAATGGGGGATGGAAGTCTCAATTACAGCTAGCTATCTGGAAATCTTATACCCACCAAGGACTCAAGAGCATATCTTGAGGATGCTTAGTATTCCGTGAAGAATGCAAAGAATCTGACTTCCTTGGGGAATTATCAAGTATTGTCTGTTGTAAACGATTCTACAAGATATTAGTTTTCTGAAATATGATTCTTTCTGTATGGTTCAAGATTACACCGCTTTCCTGTAAAAGTGTCTTTGTCTTATTGTAGGATCAGTGAGTATTCGGTGTTAAACTCCACCGTTCGGAATGTGAGAAGATATCTAGAAGAAAGCCTATCTCTCGATCTAAACATTTTTTTTTTTAAATAGCAATCACAGCACTGGAAAGTGTGGACCCCCCCCAAAAAAAAGAAAAAAAGAAAAAAGAAAAAAAAGAAGAAGATAAATACGTTTGAAACAGCATATTGAATTCCATAGTATGCTCTCCTGTTTCTTCAAACACAAGTACATTCAATAAATTGATTATCATCATCAAGCGCCAGATCTGTTACAGACAACGGCGGTCATTGCCCTCTATTTCTGTCCATTACCTGCTATTCTTAAAAACTTGGGGGTGTTTCACAAAGATCTCATAAGTCGAACTATACTCTTGGACTGGCCAGTTGGACTTAAACATCATGGAGAGCCATTGGTAGCCTTAAAATAAAATCTTTCAAAAGCAAATTTCAATCATTTTAGACTTTTCTTAAATTCCACAACAAGAACATGAAATCTCCTTGATAATAGAAAACGTGAATGATTTGAATCAACATTTTATGCCTTCTAAAGGTAAAGACCAGTATTGGAAACGCCCCAATTTCAAAAAATGAAATGGAAGCTCTTATTACCAATCATGTGAAAGAATATGTTTTGACTAATACGTGATAACAATTTTCCCGGGAAACCGCCTACTAATTGATATATTTGGTAAATTAGTTTATCTATTGGTGTGTGAGAGATAAACGCATATTTCGCGCACTCTTCCAAAGAGTTGGAAGATATTGTACATTTCTTTTACAATTGTGAAATCACAAGATTGCTGGAAGGAAATGGTGAAATGGATAAATGAAGGTTCTCGATTACAGATAGAGTTTAATTTAGAAAATGTAATTTTTGGTTTTGAAGACAAAAGAAACGATGCTTTAAGTTGCATGGTGACTTTGATTAAGCATCAACTATTTGTTCAAAAGCTTAATAACAAAATTCCAAATTTTAGTTCTTTGAAGAAGAAAATTATTCAATATTATGAAGACGAGAGATATATCCATTCTATATCTGGTATGCATAACAAATTTTTTACTAAATGGCAGGCACTTCAACATTTGTTTGTATGAACAATAAGGAGAGAAATGTGAAAGTATTCTGTTTTGTTTGAGTTCAGGAAAGACTTAATTTCATTGAATTGTAAAAATGTTTGTTTGACTCAATAAAATAGCCTATGGAGGGCTAAAACGTTTAAAAAAAAAAAAAATATTTTGCGCATGTGTGCATAGTCTCATATACATCTTTCTGTGTACAGTGCTTGTAACTTTACGAAGACTGGGCCAAATTTCTTATCATTTTGATGATTCCAGAACCTTGCAGTACACACCAATACTTATATGCTAGTTGATCAACCTTTTCTCAAGCTCTGTAATTGTTTGGTTTCTCCAATGGTAGGTTTGTCCAATAATGCCAAGTTTGTGCCACGGAACCTAGTCGGACATTTCGATTATATTCTTTTTATGTCATACGTCTTTATCTTTTTAAAATTTTTTTTTTTTTATAGTTTAGTCTACCTTGCTGATACCTCCTCAAAATATATACGATAGACTATCATTAATTCTGCTGCATTACCATATAGCTTACTTAGAGGTTACTGCAGATCAATCACCTGTACTGTATCTAGACTATAGTTAAGTGTAGGAGAACAGTAAAAACAGTGGGGCCATTGAAGGAGCGTTCACGTCGCGGTCCGTCAGATGAAAATCTGCGAATCCTTCAACCACACTACTCAAGTTTCTTTTAGTAACTACCACAACCAACACCATGGCTACCAATGACAATGATGACCAATTTGTTGCTGAGGCCCAGGGTCGAACTCATGGGTCCTTGTCAGGACCGGCCCTGAGTATCATCTCATCCAACATTGAAGGTCTTTCAGGCGCCAAACAAGAGCTCTTGGCTGACCTATGCATAACAACCAACTGTGACATTCTCTGCCTCCAGGAGACCCATCGCGGGCCTACACGAGTTCGCCCTCGTATCTCCGGAATGATCCTCATCGCAGAGAGACCACATGACCAATACGGAAGTGCAATCTTTGCCCGTAATGGTCTTGCTGTGGACAAATCTTACCTATCAGACATCAATAACATTGAAGTCCTTTCTATTGACCTAATGGGAATCACCGTAAGCTCCGTGTACAAGCCACCTCAAGAGCCTTTCGACCTGCCCGGCAGAGCTACTGACGGCAGGATGAATGTGGTCATTGGTGATTTCAACAGCCATAGCATTTCCTGGGGATATAGAGAAATGAACGAAGATGGTGAACTCATTGAGACATGGGCAGATGCTAACCAGCTGTCCCTCATTCATGACGCTAAGCTTCCTGCCTCTTTCAACAGTACAAGGTGGAGACGTGGCTACAACCCTGACCTGATATTTACATCTACCAGGATTGCTAACCAGTGCGAGAAAGTCATTCTCGACCCAATCCCTCACTCCCAGCACCGACCGATAGGGCTTTAGGTTAATGCAGTCATTACTCCACGAGCAGTACCCTTCCGACGTCATTTCAACCTGAGGAAGGCAAACTGGGAAAAGTTTGCTAAGGACTTTGACTCCTACATCCAGGACCTACCTGCCACCCCCCAAAACTACGACACCTTTGTAGAGTTGATGAAGAAATCGTCAAGGCGTAACATCCCCCGAGGATGTCGCACAAGCTACATTCAAGGCTTGACGGACCACTCCAAGGTGATGTATGAAGACTACATCGAACACTTCCAGATGGACCCCTTTAGTGAGGAGACACTGGAATCTGGAGAAAATCTGACCAAGGAAATTGGTGAATCTAGAAGGAGGAAGTGGCAGGAATTCATTCGATCCACTGACATGACACATAGCAGCAGGAAGGCATGGAAAACGATCCGGATACTGGGCAATGACTATACAAAGGCCCAACCAAGATCTGAAGTCACTGCTGACCAAATTGCCCATCAACTCCTATTGAATGGTCGGGGAAACCCTGACCATCACCCCAGAAGAGCCAGACTCCCTAAGGTCCCAGACGCTCTAAGCTCTCAAGATGACCCAGGCTTCACTAGACCGTTCACCATGGACGACCTGCTTGCTGCCATCAAAGCAATGAAAAACAACAAAGCTGCTGGACTTGATGACATCCTCTGCGAGCAGATCAAACAGCTTAGACCAGGCGCCCTCAACTGGCTTCTCAAAATGTTCAACGAATGTTTGGGCACCAACAACATCCCAAAGCTCTGGAGGAAATCCAAAGTTATTGCCCTATTGAAGCCTGGTAAAGACGCAGCCAGTCCAAAGAGCTACAGGCCTATCTCCCTACTGTGCCATACATATAAGCTGTTCGAGCGGCTTATCCTCAACCGCATCGCCCCATTCGTGGATGAACATCTCATTCCAGAACAAGCAGGGTTTAGGCCAGGAAAATCATGCACTGGCCAACTCCTAAACCTCACTCAGTTCATAGAGGACGGGTATGAGAGTAAGCTAATCACCGGAGCTGCTTTCGTTGATCTCTCTGCTGCCTACGACACCGTGAACCACAGAATCCTTACCAGGAAGATCTTTGAGCTAACAAAGGACGTGAGACTGACTGGACTCATCCAGACGTTGCTGTCCAATCGGCGATATTTTGTGGTTCTCAATGGGAATCGCAGCAGATGGCACAGACAGAAAAATGGCCTACCACAAGGAAGTGTGCTCGCACCGTTACTCTTTATCGTGTACACGAATGACCAACCGATCCACCCAAACACCAGGAGCTTCCTCTACGCCGATGATCTCTGCATCGCCACTCAGAACCAGTCTTTTGTGAAGTTGGAGGAGTCCCTCAGTGATGCCCTGGCCGGTCTCATCCCATACTATGCGACCAACCACCTGAGAGCTAACCCTGATAAAACTCAGATAAGCGCATTCCACCTCAAGAACAGGGATGCCAACCATCAACTAAGGATCAGCTGGTATGGGAAAAGGCTGAAGCACACTCCCAACCCAGTCTACTTAGGCGTCACACTCGATCGCTCCCTTACCTACAAGAACCACATTGCCAACACAAAGGCAAAAGTTGGAGCCCGCAACAGCATCCTCAAGAAGCTAGCCAACACCAACTGGGGGACTGATGCCAGAACAATCCGGACGACAGCCCTCGCGCTTTGCTTCTCTGCTGCGGAGTATGCATCACCAGTATGGAGTAGGTCGGCCCATGCACCCAAGATTGACCAGCTCTAAATTCATCTTGCAGAGCGATCACTGGATGCCTAAGGCCAACTAAAGTAGAAGACATCTACCTGCTCTGCGGTATTGCCCCTCCACACGTCAGAAGGTTGGTCTTGTCCCAGAAAGAAAAGGACAAACAAGAAAACAATCCACTCCACCCACTCTTCGAACAACAGCCAGTGGGCAAGCGGCTCAAATCCAGACACAGCTTTCTGCACTCGGTAGAGCCTCTTAATACTAGCCCTCACAACCAAAGGATGACTTTGTGGTCTAATCACCTTCAGACCACTCCACACAAACTCTCCCTCAGCCCGAAGGAATCCCTCGCAACCGGCTCCAGTGAGACTTGGCCTACCTGGCTTAGCCTCAACCGCCTAAGAACTGGCTACGGTCGATGCAGAGTCCTAATGCAGAGGTGGGGTCTAGGAGACGAACAAACGGCATGTGAATGCGGCCAGGAACAGACAATGGAACACCTGCTAGTCTGCCCACTCCTGCCAGAGCCATGCACCCAAGATGACCTGGAAGTCGTTAGTTGCCGTGCCAAAGCCTGTGTGGACCACTGGACGGGACTTGTGTAGTGACTCGATAAGAAGAAGATCAACCTTTTCTGATCGATTCCACAACGTTTCTTTGACAATGCAATCGCACGACCATAACTTGTCTTTATCTTTAAAAATAACTTTTACAAAATGATTTTCCATAATTGTTAAGTCCAAAGTAGGATCTTTGTAAAACACCTCCAGGTATTGCTGATCTTATTTTGTTTGCCCATTTATCGATATGTGAGGCGTTGCCTTCCCCTGCTTCTCTATCCAGCAATCTTTCCTGTTAATCTTTTTTTTCTCCAGATTATCCTTTCTGTGTATATCTGACCAACTAATTGCATTTGCTTCTTCCCTGTTGTGCTGATGAGTGATGGAAATACTCTTGCTTTTCTAAATACTTCTTCATTTGTTATTTTTTCTGTCCATGATATATTCATAATATTTCAAGAAACAGGTCTCTGTAGCCTCTAACCTTCTTTCAAGCTCTGTTTATCGTCCAATTGTCTAATCCAATGAATTAGACCTGCATTAATTGCAAATGTCATCTCACCTGTTCAATTTTTGGTTAAATATTATATCAGAAATGTGTTAAATCTAACCCTAACATGTGTCTCATCCCCATCAATTGATCACTTCTTGTTTTCAGATGCTACACAAGTTTATTTGAGAGCTTTGAATGTATTGCACTTGTTTTGTAAACTTCAAAAGGTTCATAAAATACTGCAATATATCCAAAAGGAGCTGTACAGTACTAATAGTTGGCTAAATAAATGTGTTTGAAAGAATAAAATGGCTAATATTTGGTATCCTGGTTCTACTCAATCCTGAGATCACAAATGTATGAGGCCATTTGTCAGCAAACCTTTATGTTGCGCTACACTTTTAAAAGTTTAAAAATGCAAGTTTGGTCTAACAAAGTGCAGTTGGTGGTGAGGCGCTACATGTACATTGTTGATATACCTTTCAGATATGCTGTATTGGAGAGTCGAGTCCATTTGCTGTGGAGGTGGAGAGGAACACTGTACCCTTGGAGGTGCAGCTTTCTCTGCACATAACACAACAGCTGGATGAGTTCACCTTGCTGTCTGGTGAAGTGGGACACCCCTTTGGCACGAGTGGAACATCCTAGAAGTTTGTTGATGTGCCTGTAGAGTCTTTTCCATGCTGGGATCATTCTGCATCAAAAGAAGAAAATGCAAGAGTCATTTGTTAACTGTGTTCTGAAGACGATCTTCATTCTAATCTACCCAATATTTTTGAACAACATGAAAATAATTGTATCAATTAAGTATTGTGTAACAGGGACCTGGGCCCTTTGTCATAAAACTTGTGATCAAAACAAAATATCAATAACTGTTATAAGTTACTGAAAAAGTGGCATTTGATTGGCTGAGAGCAATCTTGTTTTCATAGAAATTTGTAGGGCCCAGGTCATTGAAAATAAACATGGCAAATATACAAAAGCCATATGGAATAACTTCATAACATATAATTTCAAATCCAAACAAAAAAACACAAGTACAGATATCACTCATGCCTGCACTGCATGACTGGTCCATTTTCTTGGCCTATGATTCAAGGAGGGAAACTTCTAATGATCATAAAACAGCTCCCTTGGCAGCGTTGGATGTTTTCTTATGTAACATTACTTGCTCATAATTGATCTAATCGGCTAGATAAGCCACATAACCTCCCAAGACTGATCACAGAAGACAGATCGACTTGTTTTGCTTGATCGCCAACAGTATAGGCCTATATATTATTGCACATGATGGAGACAAATGAAAAGATGAAAATAATTTGGGTTGGAGCACAGGTAATTAATGTCTTGATCCATTCTTTCCGTATCAAGCCAATGGGAAATGGAGAGTTCAGAAATCATCAAAGTTCTGGATAAAAGTACATTTCTTTAAAGCAGGACTGCACTACTTGTAGCTGCTCCCGCTCTCTATAGCAAACAATGCCAAAGTGGTACCTGTTGGTCCCATGGTCCCCCTTTTCTTATGTTAATTGAGAGATGATTTGACCTGTCAGTGACCATGCAGGGAGTTCTAATCCCTCCTGGCAAAACTATAGTGCAGATAGGCTTTAAATTAATGCTACCGTGTTATTTACAATGATGATTGGTTCTTATTTACCCAGGGTGGCCACATCAGTATCAATATAACCCATTAACACCTGGGTGGAGAGTGGCAAATGTGGATTAATGTCTTGTCAAAGGACATTATATAGTGCCAGGCTGGGATTCAAACCCCCACCCCTTGGATCACGAGTCAAGTAAATGAACCACTTTACAACAACAAATAGCACCTCCACTGCATCGCTCTACAAGTGGTTCTTGATGATTAAGACTGATAACACAACAGAAAAAGATGTAATTAAGCTTTATGAGCAATTCCCGTGTTAATTTGCTCACATGCCTATTCCATTCCAGACACACATTAAATATAATTGAAATTGTCTCCATGTCATCGGTTAATTTGTTTAGGCTTCCATCATTGCTCCTGTCCATTTCCTACTGATCTTTCCTCCCTTTTTCCTCCCAATTTAGCATTCTAAGTGAAGTGACCATTTCCTAAACTTGTTACCACAAAATATGCTTGATAGAGGTGTCAAGGTATAGTGGTTCATTCACTATATACATGTATATGAAGTTATCACAGTCAAACCTGCTTTAGCAACCACCTGTCTATAAAGACCACATGTATATGTTTCTGTTGAATATGGATTCTCATAGAAACTTGTACTAATCAATTTTTATTGGTCGTACAAGCCGACAGCTGCTTTTACAGTAGCTTTCAAGAAATTTCTTGCTGAGGCTAGGTACCCATTTAATACACGTGGGTTGGGAATGTCATTCTATGTCTTGCCGATTGATCAAAAGGGTTGGCCTGGGATTCAAACCCTCAACCTTTCTTTTGGAAGCCAAGAAGTTAAACCGCTAACCACAAACATATCGCATAAAGACCTTCACTGTCTTTTAAAGTTTACATGTCTAGGAAAACTGACGCCAATATGTTGACTCCAAATTTTCAATATGAATGGGGCAACTTTATTTTGCTTTGTTTTGCCAGACTACAATTAACAGCACAACAGCTCAAACTTTGATAGTGAATGGGGTCCATCTGGTTCCAAACAGCTAGTGTCAGCATTGAATAAAACGCTTGTTAGTTTAATACAACCACAATAAACAGCAGCACATCTGAAATTCACAATGTGAATGGGGTAAAAAAAGGCCAAATCTGCAACAACCAAGACATTCATTAGATTCAACAGCTCCTACAACCACAGTGAACATCAGAACACATTAACATTTCAATGTAAATGGGGTAATTCTATCAGATACCAGAAGAATGGCTTACTGTACATGTGTGTCAGCATCAACTGAAACAGTTTCAATGGGTCCTACATCTTCCGCAGTGCATCTTAAATTCTCAATGTGAATGGGGTAATTTCACCAGATGCCAACAGGTCTGTGTCGGCAGCAACCAATTAAACCAAGACAATAACAGCAGCAGCACACCTTCAAATTTGCAAAGTCACTGAGGAAAAAATTCACTTTCTTTTTTCTGATGAGTAGTTGAAATATAATATGGATAAAAGAATATGATCAAAACGTCACTTCCCAAAAAGTGACGTCTGAAAACGAAAGTATCCAGGTTTACAAAAATATTGACATTATGGGTTACAGGGATACATCCTGGAAAATCTACATGTAATGATTTAAATTACTTTACTTTGAAGGTCAGGAAGTATATTTATAGGCCACTCTCTATTTTGATCATGCAGTTAATTGAAATAACAAAGATTATAAATGCAGGACAAAGTTGATTCTGATCTAACCTAGTCCACTCATTTTCGAGCAAGACCGTGTCAATCTCTTTGCCTCATTACTAAACATAAATCATCAATTCACATAACAAATTTTTGTTGTTTACTTTGTAAAAGAATTGTAATCACTTGTTCTGAAGACAAAGGTTAACATTTCCTATTCCATAAATGTTTGGAGAAATACACATACTTTAAAGTCTGTGATTTGAACAAGACCCTATCTAAACTTATCTGATTTTTCAGAAGCCAATTTGTCTTTTGACTGTACACATCTTTTTAAAAGCATTTTTTCTATATTAATGTATAGATCTTTTTTCTATTTCTTTTTGAAAAAAACAACAGTACATAATAATAAAAATGGTGCTTATAAAGCGCTTTCCACCAAAATCTCTAAGCGCTATAACAAACAAAATACAATGATAAACAATTTTAAACAAAACAAAAAATGCAAATAAACCTACAAAATACAATACATATGAAATATACATCAACATACATCAATGTAAACACCATGATGACGTCATTCAATGGGATTACTCCAATCTGGTTGGAGAATTAAAGGAAACCAAAGATGTCCTTCTCAAGTTTCCTGATTTTATCCATGATCTACTTTGTAAAGCCCTCTCAATTTCCTTTCTTTCACCTTTATCTCCAGTACTGGTATTTTTTAGCAACTGTTACTGAACTGTTTCTCTTTTTACCATCAAGGTGAATTGATATATATGAATACATCTACCGGTAAATGCAATGCACATCCATCTCATTCACTTTACTTCTTATTTAATGTTTCCCCCTTTTATTTGCATTTTCAGTATATTCATGAACTCTCAAAACTTATATAGAATTATATAATCATATCCCCAGAAGTTTAATCGCTGCTTGCAAAACCTTTTCAAATGACGACTTCTTTCAATACAAGTTTTTAAAGGTAAATAGCAACTCTCCACATATAGACAGAGAGGGCACTCTATTAAAGCAAGGAGAACGGGAGGGGGAATACATCAGAGTTGAAAAAACAAGTGTGTCACTCACGACTGCTTAGCCATTCATTACGAGTTGCAGCACAGCAGTCGCGAGTGTGGGTTCACATTTGCTGAATCCTTCAACTGACTTCCTGTCAATACCCCAAACTGCAGTCACAAGAGTGAGACCGAGACAAACAGGGCAACACACTCAAATTTCCTGACTCAGTCCAGTCACCGACCAGAATTCTTGGTTGCGTTGTCATTGTCTCGCTACGCACAGGAAGGCCATAGTCAACAGGTGATTAGGGGTATAAAACCGAAGCACAACAACCCCTTCGCTTCATTCTCTATCTACCTGCCGACAAACAAGGATCCCTATTTTATCGATGCGTTCACTTCCATTTGTGGAAGGTCGATGACTTAAACACACTGCCTGTTCATCGATAACGTTCCAGATAAGGAACTTGGGAAGGGCAATTATCAACGCAGGCAGATGTATCGCTTGCGTTTGATCTGGACACATCTGATTCACATGCTGTCTGATAACGCCTGAGGTAAATGACTGAACGTTGAATCAAGAACTGTAATGTTGAACCTTGGTTACCATTCTGCAGACAAGTAAACTTCAGTAACTTGGATAAGACTTTATATTTTGAACATTCAACTGTGATCTGTACATGACTGAACTGATTGTCAATTTAGTACAGGAGAGCATTGCTGGCTTGATAAACTTACCCAGAGATAATGTGAAACGGAGTTGACTTTCTTTCAACAGAAAGTCCACTTCATTGTGACATTTCGCAAATTTTCTGTCTTGTGAATCGCAAAACTTTTTCAAAATGAGTGGCAAGGAATCTTTTGGTGCCCTTTGTCTTGTCATAAGTGTGCTGATTACAGTCACTCAAGCTGGAATCTTGAGTACTTCTCCAGCCAAGGTATTGGCCCAACCATCAGAGACTGTCCAGCTCCAGTGCCATTACAACATCAACCATCGACTAAGCTGCGATGGAAGCTATCTCTTCTGGTACCATGGCAACAACGTGATGGTGATGAACAATACTGCTCCCCGAAAGCCTCAATACACCGCTTCCCTTGACCAGCATTACCTTAACGATTCCATTCAGTGTACTTATACGCTGTACATCAACGACATCAGCGCCAAAGAAGCTGGGAACTACGCCTGTATTTTTATTTGGTACGAGGGGTACTACCACTATGAGCAAGTGATGTCTGAAGTCATTGTTGTGCGACGCCCAAAGCCTGAGTATCCGATCTGCAGCAAGAAGATTACAACGACCGAGGCTGGGGACAAGTCACTGGCCTTTGTCTGTCGGTCGGAGTTGACGATGAAGGAGGGTATGTTTTTGAGATGGAGGAA